CATTTAGCAAATACTCGCTAGTGCACATTCATGCACACACTCATGGGGCGGTCTAGGTGTGCCTCTGCCATGTGTATGGACTGGATGTGATGGGCACACACAGGAGGCCAAGGTGGCAAGGTGGAGCTGCAGGCAGCTGGGGAGGGATGTGGGGACCTGGCTGCCTGAGCCCCGCCCTCTGAAGCCCACCCCCTAGCCCCAGCAGCTTCAGCCCAGGAGAAAGCAGGGCTCCCATCCCCATGCAGGCTCAGAAGCCAAACCATCCTTGGGCGAACAAGAGTGAGCTTGCCTGGTCCCCAGCTGCAGGGTTACCCTGGGTCTCCTGCTAACGGTCGCCCATGACTCCGTCACTCTTCCGGCCATCGGGACCAGCATGAGTCCCCAGTCCTGGGGCCCAGGACATCCCAGAGCAGATGTGGCCTGCTGTTGACCTGGACCCGCCCTCAGTGGTGCCCATGAGTGGTTTGGAGAAAGGATCGTGGGTGACCTCCAAACAAAGTGTCTGTGGATTGCCAGTGCCCAAGGGACTCAGTCAGTGTGGGCCCTGTGTGTGGGGAGCATGGCAGGGAGCAGACAGGCCTTGAAGCAGCCATGTGGCAGGCTGGTGAAAGGTGAGGAGATAGGTGGAGTGTCAAATGGCTGGGGCAGGGCCTCCAGTGAGCTGGCCCCATGCATCAGGCCTCCCAAGCTGACAGGATCCCTTAGCTGACCCTGCACAGACCACAGCAGTGCAGAAACTGAACATCTGCATCTGTGGGCTCTGTGGCTCACACCCAGGTGCAGTGCTGCTGGCAGGGAGGGCGACTCCAGGGCTCCCACCTGGTCCTGCCTGCCTGGAGGGGCTTGTGTTCCAGGTTAGGGAGCAGGCACCTGCACCCAGAGGTATGGGTCTCCTCTGGCCAACGAGAGCCAGCACCCTGGTCTTTGCCTGCTGGGGCCTGTGCAGTGGACTCTGTGGTGCCACCAAAACTCACTGAAGTGAGCCCAGTGCAGGGCATTTCAGTCCTGGGGACGAGGCTCTGGCTTCCTTTCCCACTGAATCTGCAAATCTGACTCAGGCCTCTGGAGCCCCAGCTGGTGTACATCACTGTGATGGCCAATCCTCCACTCACTGAAGAATGTGCTTGCTGTGTTCACTGCCCATGGAGAGCACCACTCATCTGTGTGGACCGGGGCCACATCTGCTAACATGAGCTGTGTCCCAGCATCCAGTGCCTGTTGGGGGGCAGTCGGATGGTGCGGGACAGTGCTGTCCTGAGGAAGATGCCACACAGCTGGAGGGGCCTCTCACACTCGCCTGTCACACACAGGTGGTGGGATCCTTGCTCCAGTTTCTACAAGGCGATGATGAACAGTTCTCTAACTGTGGCCTGCAGAGCCCTAAGGGGCACAGAGTCCCCTTCTGAATGAGGTGTGACATCTGGCTGGGGCACCAAGGCTCCGCCTTAGTCCTGCTCTTTCTGCCACCCCACTGAGGAACATCCTCAATGAGGTCGGAAAACTGCATGGAATGTGGGCCTCTGAGAGCCCTGCTGCCCACGGGACATCCCGCCTGAGCATGAGGGCCAGTGGAGGAGTGACCATGTAACACAAAGGGACCCATCCTTCCCCAGAGGTCTGACGGATGTGCCGGTGTCCTGCTGTGGGTAGCTGGCTGGTCTCTTCTTGAAAGTGAGCCATCCCTCAAAGGAAGCGGCTGGCAGTATTTGTCACACAGTTCAAACTTTTAAGCAAAACTCAGAACTTTGGAAACCTGCTCTCAGTAGCATGAGCTTGGCAACTTCCTCAGTTAGAGCCCTGTCTGCCGAAGGGACTGTGCCATCATGGATGTGACTGCTGGAGCAGGATGAGCCGCGTCAATGCTCAGGAGATCTGTGTCACACGGTGGGATGTTTTCCCAATGGCCAGCAGCTATGTCACAAAAGCTGTCACTAAAGCACAGGTCAGACCAACAGCTCCAGTGCAAAGAAGGAAAGCTTCCTTCTGGTTGAAAATGCCCTCTCCAGCCTCAGGCTAGGCCAGCAAGGATCCCCAGCTATTTGCAAAGTCACAGTCTTTCTGCTATGCACACCTACGTGTGACTGCCTGCCACAGTTTACAACCACAGCAGCACGCACAGCTGGCTTCCCTTAAGCCAGAGATTCGCAAAAATGCAAAGCATGATGCTGCTGCTCCTGGCGACACCTTTCCTCCTCGCAGAAGACAGATTTTTCACACCTCTGTTACTTGCATTAACATGTCATGGGTTGTTATTTTGAAATGAGTATTTCTTGAATTTAATTTCTAGGAAGGAGCTCTATTAGGCTCTGAGTCTGGGACATACCCACCACCACCCCGGCACCACAGCGGGCAGCTGCTGGCACCTCAAGTCTAAGGCCACAGGTTGAGACTGGCTGCCCTCAGTGGCACACTTGGAAGAGGTCGCTGGTGGCATGAAGGGCATCTGTGCCTCAGCCATGAATGATGATGAGCTGCTCCTCGGGGAGCTATCACACCCGTCCATCGAGACCCCAACATGCATTCCCGATGGCTCTTGTAAAGAGGGAGGAGAGGCTCACCTTTCCTCATAGTCTCAAGGTACACATCCCATTCTTGCTATCCCTCCTAGTCTGTGAGACTGTGGGGCCCCCTGCCACTGTCCTGGGTGTGACGTGGTCTGCACGTTCCAAGCCCCAGGCAGCTGAGCATATTTCTTGACACAGGGCCTTGCTATGTAGTTCGGGCTGGCCTCGAACTCAGTGATCATCCTGTTTTGGCCTCTTAAGTGCTGGGATGGAAGCCCAGCCTCTGAGCAGGTCTTTGAAAGTGGATCAGCCTAGCATCTTTGGCCCCATTCCCTCTCTCTCTTTTTTTTAAATCAGTACCGGGGCTCGAACTCTTGCAAGGCAAGTGCTTATGCTGCTGAGCTAAACCCCCATCCCTGGCCCCATTCTCTTTGATGTGAGTGTAAACATAATTTCAACATTTCAAAGCAAAAACCTCAGTGCTGCTTTGAGGCAGGCTGAACGGCCTGGGAGAAGTAGGGCTTCCTGCAGGGCCCCCAGAGCCATCTCCTCTGTCTTTGGCACACAGAGCCCTGCCTTCCAGCTCCATTTACCCCTAGATTTCCCTGAACTTCTTTTCATTTTTTTTTTTTTTTTTATCGGTACCAGGGATCGAACTCACGACCGCCTACTTGCAAGGCAGGTGCTTATGCCGCTGAGCTAAATCCCCAGCCCCTTCTTTTCATTTTACCAGGCTCACGCTGAAGTGCTGTTGATCTTCAGTACGTTTGGTGTTGTGGATCTACAAAGGATTATCTGAAAATAAAGGTTTCCTCATTTCATTTCCCTTCTGATGAAATGATGCTCTCAATGCTGTTGACATAAACGCCCAAACAACGTTAACAATGACAGAAGCCAGCAGATGATTTAGTCTCGGGGTTAATGTCTGCATGAACCTTATCAAAGAGCTCAGCGTTTACTGAGGGGACTTTCCTCCTTAGTGAGCCCACACTCACAGAGGAGGTCAGAAGTCACCGCACACTGCTGGTGGAGGTGTGGTGCGGCCAGGGCTGAGCCAAGTCCCCTATCCCACCTGCCTGCATGGTGCTGCCCCAGCTGTGGGAAGGAGGCTGTACCCAGCACCATGGAGTGAGTACCCAGACACTGCTGAGAGCAGGCAGAAAGAAACTGAACAGACGTCCTGCAGGGCCGGGACCCCTGTAAGCAAGACTGGACTCTGGGGACTCCTAAGACACAGTGAGAGCCCCCATACTGCCCACCTGCATGGCCTGCAGGCGCCCCTGGGCTGAGCCACCTTGCAGGGCCACTCTTCACCTTCCCTCGGGGGTTGGTGCTGCCCTTCCTGCCTCAGGGGAGGGGCACCTACAGTGGCTATGTGAGAAGCTGGCAGCCTCAGTAGTCAGTCCAGGGGGCAGGCAGGTCACTGGGCATCTGTGACTAGGTCCCTGGCATTTAGGGCCACCCAAGCCTAGCGGGACTGCAGTAAGTCTGTTAACCCATGAATTCTTGGAGGAGTGGCATCTTCTGTGAGAAGGAGGCGGGTACCTGGGTACACATTCCTCAGGGCAGGCTCTCAACCTTGGAGTCCCTGTCTTCTCCTGGTCACCCTACTGCTTTTTAGGAGAGGGTTGGGGCTTTTCTCGCTGCCTTCAACAACCGTGTGGCTTCTTTCCAGCATCTGACAAGGGGAAGTTCTGCTGGCATCTGGAAGCTGGCTTCGGGGGGCTTCACACCACAGACTCAGCAAGTGCTGTACTGGCCTGGGGTACCTGGGTGAACAACCTCGCCCCAACCCGCAGCCATGGAGTAAATGTACCTGAGCCTGCAGGGCCACAGGATGGGGCTCTGAGGGTGGGGAGGAGTAGGGGACCTGAGGCAGGGTAGTGCCTACTCTGCCTTCTCCACTGCAGAGCATCCAACCCCTCCTGCCCCATGGCCTGGGACTGGCCTCCACACCCAGTGATGGATCTGTGCCTGGTGGAGCCCCACCATTTCAATGTCTGGGTAACCCCAGCACACCCCAGGGTGACAGGGGCAGTTCCTGGGTGGGGGCCTTGCTTTTACACCTGTCCCCAGCAGACTGCTCACGTGGCAACCAGAGTGGGTCCCTGCCACTTGCTTGCTGAACATAGTATCAGAGCCCTGTTCTGCCTGGGCAGCACTCTGCCTAGTTCCAAGGGACAAGTGACATACACCTGACTCCAGCCTCCAGCCTCCAGTGCAGCCTCGGTGATGGGAGCCTCATCCTGGCAATGACACAATGGAGAACTCACTGAGGGGCTTCTAGAATTTTCCAGTGGTCAAAGTGTTATTCAGTGCGTAACCAAAGCAGGAGAGGCCTGGCACTCCGCCTTCATTTGATGCCTCCCTTCCCCTCACAGCTCTGTGTGTTGGCAGTATAATCACCTCTGTAACACACTGCTTATCAGCTCTCCATGACCCTAGTGCACTTGTGTCTCTTCCAGTCTGGGGACACCAAGGCAAGAGTGACCAGAGTAGTTTTCAGGATTTAATTCCAGGGATTTGCAGGGACATCTAGCTACCAGCTTTTACAACATCCAGTTACAGACCCTGTCCTAAATCTGCAGCCCCTCCCATTCCAGGATGGCAGCATCTTACAGACCACCCCACGGTGAAGCAGTTTCCCAGGAAGGCAGCTAAGGCTATCCTCCTGCACAACAGCTCTCCCAGGACCTCCCAGACCCAGGGCTGAAAATACTGTCAGCCAGGCTCCAGGACCACCCAATACTGCCTACTGTGCAAACCTCAACCGTGCCTTTGTTCCCCTTTCCTGTAAACCCCTGCGGCTCCTGTCAGCTGCTGAGACAGATCTGGAAAGGCTCTGTGCCCTCCAGCTGGCCACAGTGGTTACAGCTTCTTTCCTACTCTTTCCCATGCTGATCCCCTTGATTGGCATTTTGGCATGGGAAGTCAAGCCAGGGCTATATGATGCAGGAGCTGGGGCTTTGGCCCTACAACTCCAGCAACAAAAGGAAGGAGGTGGTGAGACATACTGGCTGCTTTAGCCTCCGTGCTGCCACCCCTATGGAGTCAGATCCAGATACACAATGGCCAAGGACCTTCTCAGCCAGCAGGAAGAACGCCTCCCAGGGGACTCATCCCTCCCTGCTGCCCCCGCCTGCTCTAACTCCCCAACTGGCAACTGCAGGGGCTATGCCTGGCGTGGACTTCTCCCGGGTGGGCCTCCTCCTCCTCAGGCCGTCTCTTCCCCTCCTGCATTCATGGCCAGCTGTGGCTGTTTCTCAACTGACTGCAGTCCCTGGGACAAGGAACAGGATTAGGGTTAGGGTCAGGCTGTGCGGGAGCAGACACTGTTGCTTATGCAGTGATATGCCCCAGGAGGCCGTGGTCACAACCACACTGTCAGCAGGCAAAGGAAAGGCCACCAGAGAGTGCTCAGATACTGCATTGAGGTCGAAGGTGATATTAGCACCAGCAGCAAGGGTAGAGCTGGGGAGGAGGACACAGCAGCCTCCTCTGCAAACATGTGCAGGCAGTCACCCTGGTGCAGCCCCTCTGAGCCAGAGAGCACCAATCCTGCTTCCAGGCCATATGGAAAAGTATATGTTTAATATCAAAAGCCATTTCGGGGATCACTGAGAGTGACTCCTGAGAAGTGCTCTAGGATGTTCTCACTGGAGCAGCTGCACCCTGGCCCAAGCCCCAGGTCCCTGGGCAGCCGCCCACTAGCCGCTGGACTTGGCGATGAGCTTCTCCAGCAGGCTCATCATGCGCTCCTGCAGCTGTAGGCTCTGCACCTGCAGGATGTTCTGCTGGTCCAGCACACGGCGCACCTCGCGGCATGTCTCCTCCATGGCGCGGCTCAGCCGCCGCTGCTCCTCCAGCATAGCCTCCAGGAGTCGCAGCTTCTTCCTCTGCAGGTGGCAGCTCTGCGCCTTGCGCTTTTTCACAGGTCGCTCCTCTGATCTGCAGGACAGCAGCAGCTATGGATGAGCTGGTCATGGCCTGGGCCCTCCCGACCACCCGACCACTGAGGCCCCAGGGAGCCAAGCCTCTGCCTGAGAGGTGAGAAGATGGAGACCACGGGCATGGCCAGCTATAGGGCCCTGTAGGCAACCTGGTGATAACCAACATATCATGGGAGCAATGCGGTGCTGAGCAGGGCAGGCAGCGGGCCCGAACCAAGTGGGGGGCCCAGGCATGGAGCAGCCTCCCTCCTCCAGGGACGGATACAGGTGGCAGGAAGAGGCTTCAGGAGCAGAGACATCTTTGGGGGCCTGGACAGGGAAGTGCACAGGTGCCAGACGGAGTGCCTGGGCCTGAGCCCTGTCTCCCAGCACCCTGGGATGGGGAGGAAGGAGGATGGCTAAAGGGGGAGGTGGCAGCTCCCTCCTTAGGATCAAGGAGATAGAGACAGCTGGCCTGTGGCCTCCACAGCATTGTCAGAGCCCACTGAGCCCCCCCTCCAGCGCCCTCTGGGCCAGTTTCAGAGCTTCGGGCAACCAGCCAGCCTTGGGGGTCACAGCCCTATGCAGCACCCTAGCAGCAGAGTCCAGAACTGGGCTCTTCATCCCAAGGACAGCTGGCCCTGCACCTCAGGCCTCCTGCTGGCTGAGCAAAGGCGCGTCTGCCTGGGATCATGGCTGAGAACTCTCCAGGGAAGGGTGCTGGGGGAGCCCTTCCCACCTCACCACAGACTTGGAGACTGGGCACAGAGACCATGCTTGAAGCTACATCCTTCTGTTCTCTTCACTTGCCAGCCCATTTTACCTCAAAAGCCCATACTCAAAGTCCCATCCTCTGAAGTGACTGTTCTGGGCTCGCTGTCCCCACACCTTTGGATGTCTGTCCTGCATGCAGTCTGATGCTTGGGCACAGCAGTAGAAGCCTAGTGACAAGGGACAGGCTGGACCTGTGTGGGATGTGGGCAGGCAGGGAGGAACATGTGGGGCCAGGCCCTGTGTCTTCTCTCCTGATAATGCCAACCCTCTCCCAGGAAGGTTCTGACTGATCCCCATTTCACAAGTGGGAGACTGAGGCCAGAGAGGTCAAGGAACTTCCAACGCAGCTAGCCAGTGGAGCCGGGAAATAAGTGTGGTCTGCTATCTGAGGCTGGCCTGGGCCTGGGGGGCCAGCAACTATGAGGATACCATGCCAGGCAGCCACCTTTGCCACTCTGGCCCGGCCGCTCAGGTGGGCAGGGCCGGGCAGGAGGAGGAGAGCGCGCGCACGCACACTACCTGAACTTAAGGGACAGTAAGCTGGAGGAGCTGTCGGAGCGATCGTCCTCGAAGCGGCCTTCGTAGGAGCACTGGGTATACGGTAAGTACAGAGGGGTGGACTTAGCAGACGGCGACAGAGACGCCTCGGTCTGGGACGTGGAGGGCCCCGGCTGCTGGCCATCCGGCACTTTGCCCTCAGAGGCCTCGGGGACTTTGGCCAGAATCCTATCAATGGCTAGGTAATAGGGCCAGTCCGGCGGGACCGACTCGCTATCTGTCATGCATTTTAATTTCCTGAAACGAGAGACACAAGAGCCATGGGTGAGAAACAGCTGGTCCCAGCCCATCCCGCCGGGCCCCTCAGCAGAGGGACACACAGGGGCGTGGGGACCCTTGGGCAGGAGCGGGAGCCACTTGCAGCCAGCATGGGCTCCCTAGCAAAATCGGCCAGGTCCTAGGTCCCAGTTATAGTGGACTCAGAGCAGCGAGGCTTTGGGAAGTGCACAGCCTCTGGTATGGAGAAAGTGCAGGGGCTGCAAGAGGCTTAGCGGTGAGAACTGTCCAGCAGGCTTGAGGCCCTGGCAGGGGGTGGGAAGGGGCACATGCCCCAAATATAGGAAGGGCAACTACGGGTGCTGGAACCTCGAGTCGGCTCCTGTGGTTTCTCCTAGCTTTTCTATTGTTCCTAAATTCTTTGCAATGAATGTGTACTGCTTCTTACACAAGTTACCCCTGCAATAATAAGCTATTCTGACAAACTTACAATAGACCCATTAGATATCACAGGCTGACAGCCATGGCTTTCTAGAGAGGATACCTCAGGGACGGAGGATCACAGGGGCAGGCTGCAGCTTCCACACACTGAGACTATCTCATCACCAATGTGCTGTGTGATCTTGGGCGGGTTCATTAACCTCTCCAGGCCTCCATTTCTGCATCAATAAAATGGGGATGAAGGAGGAAGCCTCTCACAAGGCTGAAGAGGAGACTTAATAAAATGGTGCCTGGCAAGCAGCAAGCTGGCCTCCAGTGTCACTCTTGGTTGGATGGGACCAGAAGTCGCATCACTCCAAGCTTGGGAGTGTTGCTGTCACTCATTCAGCCCTAGAACCTACAGCTTCCCAGTGGTGACAGGCTGGTCCATGGGGTTACTCTGCACTCTGAATGGAGCGGCCCTGTCCTGGCTCCCCCAACCAGCTTTCCATCTTCTCTTGCAGTGGGTCCTGCCTCAAGGGGGACCAAGCCTGATGAGGCAAGGGTTGGGGAGACCAGGCCCTGGGGTAGCAGGACAGCTCAGGCCAACCAGGGATGAGGCCACAGGGTTGGCTAGGGGACCTCTGACCTGCTAGACCCAGCAGCTCCTGAAGCCCAGGGCTCCCCACCTGCCTGCCCATGGGACTGGCCCATGCCCTCAGGCCCAACTGTCCTATCTCCCTGGTACTTCTTGCCAGCAGTGGGCACTGGAGGTAATGCGCTGGCAGAGTGAGTGACCTCCTGTAAGTGGGCACAGCCAGCAAGGAGGGGCTGCTGCCTGACTACAGATAGTGCCAGGTGAATATCCTTGCACACAGCTAGGAATAGATCACACAGGGCAGGACCCAGGCTGTTCTGGCTTCCCATCAGTGGGTACCTGATGCCCTGCAGAGGGAAAGGTGAACTGTCTACCTGGTGACCACGCCAGCCTCCGCCTCCACGGTACCCTTGCTTTCTGCTCCCTCAAGCCAGCCCTATCCTTGGAGACAGGGATCTAGTGCCCCACCTGGGAGGCTCCATGGGACCAGCCACTCTCTCACACTTCCTTAGCCAGACAACCGTAATATGTCAAAAGGTCTTGGGAAAAAACAGTAAGGGCATCTGCAGCAGAGAGGGTGGGAGGGGAGATAAAGACCTGGTCACCCAGTTGAAGCTTCAGCCTGTGAAGGACCGAGTAGTGAGACCCTTTGCAGTTCTATGCCTCAGTTTCCCCTCGGTGAGCACAGACTGACGACAGCAGCCATCCATGGAGAGTCATGGAGGGCACCTGCTTCCCAAGCTAGGAGTGCCGTGCCCCCTGCCTGACTGCACCCCTCATTTCCCAGCCGTGCACCCGGCCAGAAGTGGAGACAGATCCCTCCCCTGGGACGCGGAGGGAGGCTTTCAGGATGAATAATGAATGACCAGCCAGACACCAATCGGAGCACGCCAGCCCAACTCTGAATTACCTAGTTACAGGAGGTTGGGTCTCTGTGGCATAGCCTCTCCCGCCCTGGAACCCTGTACTCACTGGATGTTTGCTTGGGGCCAGGGGAATGGGCAGCCCAGGCCACATGTCATCATCTGCATGGCCACCTCTGCGGACACCAGGCTCACATCTCAGCCCTAAGGCTGAGGCTCAAATGTAAACTTGTTTATACTAAAGGACTCTAGGCAATGGGTTCTGGCTCCTGGCCTGGGACCTGCTCCTATAGGGCCCTGCAAGTTAAGTCAGCACAACTTAAAACAGAGCCTTGGATTCTGTCCAGGCCCTGCTGGGCACTCTGGGCTCCCAGCGTGGCCAGGAACCAGGGCCGGGGTGTGATTCCTCCACTATGCTGGGCTGACTTTCACCTGTGAGTGTATGGGGGCTTGGTTTTGCCCTGGGGTACAGCAGGGAAACCTTTGGGGCATCCTTTCCCCCTAGCTTCCATCTGTACCACCCCAATGGCTGCACCCTGTACTACTGTGAGTCTCCCGTGGGACAGGGTTCCCTACACGGCAGCCCTAGGGCACCCAGGGCCCGATGCTTTCAGCTGCTGAGTCCCCCATGGCCTGCAGCTCCTGTTGTGATCCTCCCCACACACATGACCTTTATCCTGCATTGTGACCTTCACTGCACACAAGATTCCTCTCACCTGTAAGCCCATGCCCCCCCCCCCCCCACTCCTGCTAGTAAGTTCTGTCCTGCTCCGGGCTATAGGGACAGGATCCCTGGGTGGTGAGGTACTGGGCTCTAGGGCTACAGCCGTTCCTCCTCCTTTCCTCCAGGAGCCCCCAGTGCAAAGCCAGCTAACCTGGGATGTGCAGAGCCAGAGACAGAGCCAGACCAAGGTTCCCCACTTCTCCCCTCAAACAAGCAAAAGCACCACCTGCAAGTGGGGCACCAACTGGACAACTTGACGTCTTGACATCTGCTGAATGCCCCTTTCCTTGACCCTGAGTTGGGCACAAAGCATGAGCTCGAAGTCCTGGAGGGTCAGGACCAGATGGGCCTGGGAACGAGCTTCCTTCTCATTCTGGCCTCAGTTTCCCTCTCGTACAGAGGCTTGTGACCCCTGGTGACAACCTGTAGCCCCTAGGGTGGGGTGGGGAGGTGTAGCTAGGAGGCGCTGCCTGCCCCGGGTGCTGCCTCAGCTCTGGTGTGTCTGAGCCACAGCCCAGTGACATGATATTACCAGGAGTCCCCACCCATTTCGTGCGCTTGCTAGGCCTCGGTTTTCCTATCTCCCCGTTTCCCCAAGGGAAGCTGCAGGATGGGTCCCCGAGGCTGTCTGTTGCCCCACCGGCTGCGCTGCCCACCTGTACTGGAAGGTCATGTTGGTGATTTTGATCTTGATCTCCTCACCCAGCCGCCGCTCGCCCGTCATCTCGAAGAGCTTGCTTGCCATCTTCTCATACACCTTGGCATTGCGCTTGGTCTGCTTGAGCTCGTCGAAGAACTCCTCCCAGATGAGCATAAGGCCGCGCATCTCAGCGTCCGTCCAGTTGCGGGCCCGCCGGTGCTTCTCCGTCTGAGGAGACACAAGGTAGCCTGGCACCTCGGCTGCCGCCATGCTGGAGGCACCTGCGGGGTTAAGGATGGTGCTCAGGCGGGGCCCTGGGCCCAGCCCAGGCACCATGGGCGGGAGGCGCCGCACTAGCTTGCTCGAGGCTGCTCTGAGCTCAAAATGGGGCCTACATCTGACAGGCAGGAATTTAGTTAAAAGCTTTTAAACAGGAAACGTCATTTTGATGTCACGTTTCCATAGCAACACAGCAACTGCATAAGCTACAACAACAGAAATCTTTTAACTGAAAGCACAGGAATCAGGGCCACACTGATGGGCCATCAATATTGCAGCGCACGCTGGGCCCAAACCCAGTGTCAGCCCCAGCTCTGCCTCCTCCCAGCGGCCCACCAGGCCTTGGCTGCCTGGACTGTGTGCAGAGAGGGGCTTCAGTGGTGCCAGCCAGGCCTGAGGTAGGGGCGAGGGCAGCCCACAGGCAGTGGGTACGAACAGGAGGACGGTATGGTCACAGGGAGATAGTGCAGGGGAAACATGGTGGACAGGCAGGAAGGCTAGGTCCCATGTTGCCTGGACTCCCTGATGGAGGCTGGGCCCAGGCTTCAGGGGAGCACGAGGCCCCCTTTCCCACCTTTGTCCGGTGCTACTTTTACTCTACCCACCAAACACACTGGCCTCAGTCCTGGGACTCTGAGGACCCAAGCTGACCACAGCCAGTCCCTGCTTGGTGGTGCTTGCTAGGGGACCTGGACACTGACTTTCAGCACAGGCTGGGGACAGCGGGACAGCACTGGAGAGCAAAGGCAAGCTGTGGGTGGAGACAAGAGAATGGATCAGAGGGTGACACTGGTAAGGGTCAGCCAAGACAGAGTGGCAAGGTGGACGTGGTAGGGGGATGCAAGCCAGACACGAGCTGCAGGGGAAGGCGAGTGTGCAGGCAAAGCTGGGGTAAGGGCTCCCACCTCTCGGGCTGAGGGACTGAAGGCCCGCAGGGGGCCAGGGACCTCAGCGGAAGGAGCCAGGGGCAAGCAAGCTGAGATGCTGCAAGGGCTACAGAGGGAGAGTGTCAGCTAGTACTGAAGAGGTAAAGATGCAATGAGAGGGCACAGAGCTCAAGGCCCTGGGCTGGACAGACCAGGAGGGCCCTGGCGCCCCACTCTTTTGGCATCTCAGCCTGCAGCTCCCGAGGGAGGTCCCACCCAGCCTCCATACTCAGGCTGAACTCCCTGTTCAGCAGGGGACAGTGGGGGACTGCTAGTTTTTCTTGGCCTGTCTTCTGTGAAGAGCTCCCGTGGCATCCTTGTGGGGCCCCAGAGCCCAGCATGGAAGGGCCTCAGGCTGCCATCTGGTTCCCCCAGCGTGGGGAGTCCCCGTGCCCAGCAGCCCCGTGCCATTAGCAAACCCCACTCAGGGGTCTAGGTGAGTTGACCCCCTTCTTCTCTAAGCCCTAGGACCACTGTCCCCCAGCAGTCCGTAACTGGGACTTTTATACTTCTACAAAGGGTCCACCCAAACTCTGCACTCACCATCCTGGGCCAGTGGGCTTGCTGCCCTGGAGCCCAGTATGGGACCCCGACTGGGTTCTGCAGACCCGAAGCCCCACTCCTCCATCAAGCCCTACTCCTCAGGCATGAGATCTGAACTGTGGAAGGTTAGGGACCTGTCTCTCTGTCCCACCCAGCTGTGACTCTGGTGCAGAAATGGGTAAGCACACCCCACCACACAGTGAAGAGGGCAAGTACAGCCCAGGGCTCTACTGACTCAAAGTTTTCCCTCTCTGGCCACTGTTCCCCATTTCTGCAGTGGGAATGATGGGATTGGGCTGGAGGACATGAGTCATCCAGTATGGTGCTGGAGGGGCCCTGGGGTGATGGTGGTGTCCTGATTTCCCCCAACCAGTTCCCACCAAGATTTTCCTTGGAGGCTTTCGAGTTCTGGGGCACCTCCTCCCCTGCTTGCTTGAATTCTGATTGCTTGCAGCACCACTCTCCAGGAAGAACCCTGTAGGGAAGGTTTCAACGTTCCTTCCAGGGCTGGGATGCCCGCAGTGTGCCCTCTAGGGCACCTTCCAAAGTAGAGCCCTTGTCCGAGCTCCCCAAGATGAGCTAGGCTGGCCAACTAGTTGGACCAAGGCCCCAGGTGTCTGGCCCCCTAGGGGAGGAGTTCCATACCTTGGCATAGCTGCATGGCCTGCTGGGACCCTGGGTCACTGCGGGGTTGGGAGGCAGAGGGCCCAGGCTGGGCACCTGGCAGTACCTGCAGGGAGAACAGCAGTCAGGCCTTGGCAGGAGCAACCTTGGGAGACTCAGACACCGTGCTGGGTCCAGCCTAGTCCTGCTGCAAAGAGGCCTGTGCACTCTGGGCCTTGCTCTTCTCTGGATGGTGCTGTCCTGCTGCAGGAACCTGGGCCTGACTGAGGAAGGGGTGCAGGGTTCAGCCTACTGAAGGGAGCCATGGAGGGGAAGTCAGGTCCCTGCAGCCCTGAGTTAAGTCTGTACCAGTGGGGGACATGTAGATTGAAGAATCAAGACCTTGGCTGCCACTGGGAAACAGACAGTTATTGTGTGGGGCAGGGGTGGTGGCCGCGCGAGGGCAGCCTGGCTGGGAGGCAGCAAGGCTTAGGAAGAAGCCAGAGCTGTCCAGGACTGCAGGGACAGGAAAGGCTGCTGTCTCAGTGGGGGTGCAATGGGTGGTGCTCCTCAGGACAGGCCTGTCCCAGTGGATAGAGGTCTCGGCTGCCTGGCCCACCATGGAGGGCAGGGAGACTGCCCAGCTTATGTGCTGGGCATTACCATCCTTCCAGACCACGTACTGTAGTCCTCTGCCTGTGGGGTCAGGCCTCCACCTTGAGCTGTCAACATCACCAGAAGCCCATGGCCTGAATGCTCTGTCCCCACTGGACCATGACAGTAAGGGAGCCCTCCAGTGGGCTGAGCCATAGATGGGGACAGGATGAGGGGCCCAGTGGACCACCGATGCCTAAGGATTCTAGGAAGGTGGCAGACTCCAGAGTCAGGTGCCTCTGCCCACCCACAGCCGTGGGGACAGCCATGGTGCTCCTGGGCTCCTTGCCCTGGCTCTCTGGCTGTAATGGGCCACGAGGTCACCTAGTCCCTTCTGTGTGTCCCTGGAAGCCCAGAGCTGAGCTGTGACCCTGGTACTCACCTCACTCAGCCACTTCCTCATCACTGCAAGGGTGGGAAGCGCCAGATTCCTCACATGGGGAACTACTTCAGAATGCTTTTCGGAGCCAAGTGGTCATGGCTGGAAACAAACACCACCGTAGGCACCGAGTGCAAGCCCAGTGAGGAGCAGGAGAAGTGGTATCCCCTGGTACCTGCCTGACAGGGAAGGTGGCAGTGACAGGTTCAGGTTCAGCCCTCTGCTGTATAGTTGCAGTGTGCGGCATGCTGTGGGTTGCCCTGCTGAGGGGTGCTTTCCACTGGGCCTGGGCCATTTCTGGAAACCCCAACTATGCTGGCCAGAGATTACCAGGGATTGGCTGCCCCCACCCGAACCGGGAGGAAGGGGTGTTGTTCCCCTGAAGTGACCAGAACACAGGTAGTGCAGAAGGGCGAGGCCATCAAGGCACTGAAGTTGTCATCAATGAGGAGATATTTAGGCAGCCAGTGACCCAGCCCCCATCAACGCTTACAGCAACAGAGGGGGCAGAGAAACCTCATGGCACATCCTCCAGCTGAGTGCTCACCAACCCGTGCAGAGAAAGGGGACCTGAGCCCTATGAGGGCCACCATCCGACTGTGTCTTGGCCCTCGCCTTTCTTCCTGGCCCCAGCCAAGGGGCAGTCAGGGTCATGTGTGCCTTGTCCTAGATCATGATCACTTGGGCCACCGAGCCTCTGGAGGCTGGGAGGAAGGTGGCCTTGCTGAGCCTGACTTCTGGGAGAAGGTATTCCACAGCGGAGGGGCTGCCATGCTGAAAAGGATGGGGCAGACGCTGCAGTGACAAAGAGAGGGGAGACCAGCTGTGCTGGGGACAGCAGAGTCCAGCTGTTCCAGGCACATGCCTGTTAATGGTCAGTGAAGCAGAAGGGATCTACAAGGGAACTCCATGTGAGGACATAGTCCTCTCCACACTTCTAGTTCCCTGGAACCACTGTGGAAGGAGGGGAAGCCCATGGTGAGGCCACCAAGATGAGCATGCAATGCCGCTCACCACCAGCGCCCTCGAAGCCCATGCTTGCTGCACAGCGAGGCACCCACTAGGCTGGGCCCAAACCCAGCCCACTCTGCAGCTGCCCATGTGCCCGGGCCACTGTGCCTCACCAAACAGAGAGGAAATGGTTCTCAGCAAAAAGAGTGAGTCCCACACAGCAACAATGGATGGTTTGATTCCTTTAATTTGAATATACAACATTTGCAGCAGTTAGAAAAACTTTAAATGTACATCTTACACCAGTCCTTCCTCTTGGAAGTGGACAGTCAGGGGTGGGCAGAGCTCCGGGACATGCCCATCACAGCTGCAGCCCACAGCCTGCTCACTTACAGCCTGGATGGATGCCCTGGGTCAGAGCTGCACCCCACAGGCAGGTTTCTGCCGCCCATAACCCGCCTGCCATGTGCAACAGAAGAGCTGCTCCCTGAAAGCCTTGCAGGGAGGGCTTTCAAAATGGCATGAAAACATGACAGGCACACAGGGAAGATGGCCCTGAACCTTCTAAGCACCATCTGTGGACGCAAGGCTGAATCTCTCCTACGCCACACACAGCTCCAGACAAGGGACAGTCCTTTTCTCCTGTGCCACCCTGTGCTCTCCACCCTCAGCTCTCTGGGCCTTCCCACTCCCATGCATCACTCCTGGCACACCGAGTTCACTTCAGCCAGCAGCTCTGGTCCCTGCACCCAGCGCAGAGAGGGAGGGACAATCCTATGTGAGGAGACTGATGGGGAAGGACACTCGCGGGGAGCAGGAGGAACTCATTCTACTTCGCAAGCACACAAAGCCAGACCCATGGTGCCAAGGCAACTGAGAGGCAGCTATTGCTGTGTAACCCACCCACAAGGTGAGCTCTCAGCTGGACACTGTGGCTCCATGGGACGGGCTCCCTGGTGGGGATGCTCTGGGTGTCTGGGGCATCTCCATGGCACTCTTCCTCCTGATGGGTCCAGCACAGGGAAACTGCAAGTATGATAAAGGGCACTTGCAGCTGGAAAGTTACCTCCACGCGTCAGCAGGGCCAGCAAAGGAAGGGAGGCACAGTCTGGAGAAGAAACGCTTAAGTGCATTGCCAAATAATTCTACCCTGGTTTCATTAAAAGCTTTCCTGATAGTACCAGCAAGAAAACAAAAATACTACCCTGCCTCCCCCAAAAACCTGATAATCAAAATGACATTTCTGGTAAAAGTTGGGGATCCACAGCTTTGGAGGAACTTGAGGGAGTCTTGAGCCCCCATGCTAGTCAGGCAGACCACTTTCTCCATGGGACTTTTCTGCATAGGGACACCTTCTTATCTTGTCACACTCTCAGGTGTTTTCTGAGGGCTTGTGTCTGACTCGAGGGGTGTGTGTGTACATCCACCAGCTCTGGAGCACACAAATCTTTGGGTTGCTGCCTATAGCCAGAGTTGGATTCCAGCCCCTACGCTAAGATCATAGGGTGAACAAGAGGCGGCCAATTAAACTATGCTGAGTCCGTGATAAGAATCCCAAGGGGAATGGCTCCAAATTTCATATTCACAGTGTTATTTCTCACAATGTAAACATCTAGCCAGGCGCAACATTCAGCCTGCAACACATCTGTCTCAGCAGCTGGGACAATCTGGGGGTATAGTGCAGAACTTTCCCACGGTTCCCAAATATTTCGAGCAGTTTCCTAGGGGAAAGCTGAGATGAGAAACAGGAGCCCCAAATCGATAAGGGGCCATCAGAGACTTTCTTACTTCTTAGCATCCTGTGGTTTCCCTACAATCTTCTCCCAAACAGGATCCATTTCTATAGTCTGAACTGCTGACTACCAGAATGAGTTGGTCCTGGCTAGTTGAGGTCTCTATTGGGCCTGGCAGGAAAAGCTTCATGTTAACCATGAGGGATTCCCCGTGGGCAACCCAGCACCCCATGGCAGGAGAGGACAGAGGCAGTTGGGGGTCTCAAGGTGACACGGCAGACATGATGTTAGCTAACGCAACAAGCTGAAAGCCCTCCTCCTTGGCAGACCACAAACCACTCTGTGTGCTCCTCATCGACCAAGTGTAGCTGATACTGACCTCACCACCCAGTCAGCTGGGCCTGCCCCAGGGACGGGGCATGGAGCACCACCCTACTGCACAGCGGGCAGCGCTCTGAACAAAGACAGGGAGTACACCAAAGGAGCCCTGCCACCCAGGCTCACTTCCATTAAAACCATGTGGCTTTGTCTGGTCCAATGGCAGTGGGTTATCAGAACTTATTAACATTAGTGTCACTAAAGTTGGTATACCACCCCCCTTCTCCCCCCCAATGCTAAATTTAGTTGGCTTAAAAAAACAAAAACGAAAACAAAAAAACCCATGTGGCCGTCTGCACCTGGGAACCCAAAGTGAGTTCAGGATCTGGGGCCTGGGGTATAAGCAGGGCTGTCCCCAGGCCACAGGTGACCAGACACACATGTCTTCCCACTCCTACCATCCCATCTCCACATGACCGAGAGTGAGCCTCTTCCCTCCCCTCCGATGGACACAGATGTGCGCTCTCCTCGGCTGAGGGAGGCACACACATGAGAACTGGAAAGGCGTGTTGGGGTTCATTTTCAATGGTCACTGAGACACCACGCTTTACCCTTGACCACAAGCTCACACAAAACATCGTGTCAGAGCTCAGCTGAGTGATGTCTTGGGGCTGTAGGCCAGGTACCCATCAGGGCTTAACTGTTCTGCACAGGAGGCTAGGGATAGTGCACCTAACACTGGATGCTAAAGTAGACCACAGTCCTGGATGCTGGCCAGGCACTGGAGGCTGCCAGGCCTCTCATATGTGTGAGCCTGAGTGCTGTCAGTGCCCAAAGAGGGGTCCTGCAGTGGACACAGAGGCGAGTACACTGCTTGTCCTCCGAGTCGGGCCCTGGACACTGACACCTCTCTCCATTCCAGCTACACAGGAACACACAGCAAAGGGAGTGTGTGCAGCAGAGGGGGTGTGGGAGGGGCCCGCCGACTCAGCACAAGCGGCTACAGGAAGGGAGTGGCGACCAGAGGCCCGGTCCACGTCCGCAGACGCTGTCACATGCAGCACAGGCCTTGCAAGTCACACACTGTACACGGGCATAGGAAGTGTTACATTAAAATTAATCTCTTTACTGATATAATTAAATTTTAAGTCCTGAGAAGAGAACAGAGAAAGGGAGACTGGCACTGCACGCCCAGCACCCCCAGGCCTGACTCACCACGCACCAGTGTCCAGACATGGGTGGGCAGGCAGACCCCACTGGGAGATGCAGGGAGAGCTTTGCAGCCCGAGGCAGCGTATCTGTCTGCAGGCCAGGGAGGCCAGGGTTCCTGCCCTAGGGCACTGCAACCCTGTGATGTGGACAGGTGTACACAGGGAGACATCACCTGTGATTGCAAGGCCACCAACACAGGACTTAGCTCAACCCCAATCTGCTGCATGTTTCCTGCACAGCCCTTGCTGCAAAAAGCACTTCTGTTGCAGAGCCAGAAATGCACATGCCAGCAGGCCACCTTGTGTAGCGCAAACAGAAGCCCATGGCAACCCAGGAACCCTGGCAGAGCAGGGTTCACTCAGGCTCCCACATGTTCTGGTCCCACAAGCTGTCTCCTCTGGGCACCACAGATGCTTAGCAAGTGGTGACCTTGTGGACATTTCGCAAACAAGTCAGTAGCCGGTGGTATGGGCTTCCTGGTGCCGCGACCACCTCAAACACAGACTGAAAGGCCCTGCGGTCAAGCTCCTCCTCTATCTGATGTCTGTAGAAGTCTGTGGCGACCAGGCAGAAAAGATTCACGTCCACCTGCTCCAGCTTGCCCATCCGGCTGATGACATGTGGAAGGCTGGCATAGGGGTCAAGGAGAACACCGGAAAGCAGGGAAGATGCCCTCACTCTCCTCCCACCCAGGGAGGCTGGAGTGACCAGGGCAGCAGTGGGCAGCCTGGACGGTGCCAGCAGCACTGGCCACCCTCACTGTCTCCTGCTACCAGCTGCTTTTGCCCACAAGGTGGGGCAATCCCGAGCCGCTCTCAGAGCACTTGGCGCTATACCACTTACCTGGCCAGTTGCTCAATGCAGGGAGGACAGAGCTGGCCCAGATCCCCAGCTGGGTTGTGTGAGGTTGTGCTGTCAGCACAGCACAGTCACACTGCTTGGAGGCTCCTGTGGTCAGTCAGAGGGAGACCAGCAAGAGGGGTACTGGCCTGCAGCAGTGGCCACTGAGGTTGGGTCTTTACTCACGCCTCTCCCCAGGAGGGCAAAAACAGCACAATGAGGAGAGCTAATAAGAAGCAGCAGTGGGGCACCACAGAACCACCCAGCAGATGTGCAGCCACTGCCCCGCCTCCCTGCCCCGCCCCCAGCCCAGATTCCTTCCCCACCCTGACCCAGCCGCCAAGGGCTGGGCCTCCTACTTTGTGTCCCTGTCAACCTTTCACACTCTTGGGCTGGGAAACACAGCCTTAACCTCAGGGATTCTGTAGAGCGTAGGTCTCCAAGGCTTCACCACCACCCAAACCTAGACAACGATGACAGAATGGTGAGAACTAGTGGGAGGCAGGAGCTGGCCTCAGACAGGGACCAGGAAGGATACATGGCTGACACCCAGGGGCTGGTGGATGCGCTGACAAAAAAGCAGGAGAGGCTCCACATGGCCATGGCAACCGGGGTCCTCTGTGTGAAGTTGGACAGGGACAGCATGACCCAGTCCCGGACCATGGGCGACTGTCCGGCACTGTGCAGAGTCTGGAACACCTGGGAAGAATGTGGCACCTGAGTGGGCCAGGCAGTGGGAAGGGCACCTGTGCTCCCAGGCCCACCACTTCCCCAGAAGGAGCCCGGCCTAGTGGCAGAAGCCTGTGGTTTACTCTGCCCTGGCTCAGCTCACCTCGCAGAGACATACCTTGTACACAACAGTGGCCATGAACTGTGGGTATGGCTGCTGGTTGGACAGAAACTCTCCAATGACCTTGTTCATGACGTCCTGGGGTGGGAAGAAGTCGTCCAGGAACTGGGGCAGGATCCTCGCCACCACCCGGGCTTCACAGGGGAAGCCCTTCCTGATCCTGGAGGGAGGGGAGCAGGTCAGAGCCATGCTGGCCCCTAGCTTGCGCAGCCTTGTCTGGGAGCACTGACATGGAGCAGGGGTGCAGACTGGAGCTAGGGTATGAGCTCTCCAGTAGTCCTCCTCCTCAGGGTAAGGAGGATCGTGCTGTGTACAGGTGCGGGTAGTGGTGAAGGTAGGGTATAGGCCAGGTAGAGGAAAGAGCAGGAGCAGCATGGGGAGGTAATTTTTCCAGGGACAGACTGCATGGCATTTTCAACTCCACACGTCTCACACGCTGTCAACCAGGATTCCTCTCCTCTCAAACCTAGACCCCATCTGTGTTCTTGGTGATTCTTCTTCTAACAGATCCTGAAATTCGGCCTCAGCAGCATCCTTTCTAAAGCAGAGATGGTGACCAGCATCTACCCTGCCTGTGCTCACAAGGCTTCAGTGTATGACTGAGATGTGAGAAGTGGCCCAGAGGCTGGCAAAGCCTCATGCATGTGTGCCCAGCTTGGTGTGTCCTCTCAGCTAGCCTGCCCACTGCCTGGAAGGACTCAAGTGAGGGTACACTTGTGTGCCACCTACACCTGCTTAAAGGCACCTGAGTAGATGGCTGGAGGCAGGATGGCTACAAAGCTCACTCTCCAGTTCAGTGTGGAAACAGCTCTGCAGGGGACCCCACAGGCCAGAGGATATAGGCCAGGTCCCTGAGTGTGCTAGACAGCCAGGTAGCTTCCCACTGGACAGCCTGCAGGGGCAGAGCAGCACAACAGGCCACAGACTTATTAAGTTTCTTACCAGGTGGTGTGAGGGGAAGCACAGGGCTTCATCCTCAAGAGGTACGATACTCTCCAAAACTGGCATACAAAGCCTCATCCTACCACAGCCTCACTCTTTCTGGTCTGTCTCCACAGAGCTCAGAAATGCCATATGTGTTTGGCTCACAAAAGGCAGCATGGTGAAGGGTGTTTCTATCACTGACTGCTCAAGTCCCCAGGCCTCCAGGAGAGGAAGGAAGCAAGGAGGCTGCCTTGGAGGTGGTTGACACCACCCTTGTATGGGGCCAGGCAGGACCAAGGCATGGTGGGGAAGCATGGCAGGATACAATCAGGGTCAACTGTACATGTGGACATGCCTGAGGGCCATTGCCACTGGGTCCAGCTCGAGGGCAGGGCCAGTCATGGCATGGGCTGTGCTTCTCACCTATCAAAGAGGACAGATACCCGTTCCATGGCAACGATCACAGACTCGCTGTCGGGAGCTGCAGGGTTAGGATCCGAGGTTCTGCCTGGACTGGCTTTCTCCTTCCCTGAAACAGCAGTGCCAAAGCTTATATGAATTTAATGGAGCTCCAGTGAGGGTGAGGAAGCAGGTGACCAGCACCTGGCAAGCCCAGATCTACATAGTCCCCAGTGCTGGGCCCCAGGAATGCAGTGGTCGGGACAGTTCTGACATCCATGCACCTGGTAGCCACCTCAGCCAGCCCGGGTTCTAGGCTCTAGAATCTCTAATAGGGTGATGGGGTTGGCTCAGGTCCCACATCCAGGGACCAGGGACCTTCAGGGAGCTAGACAGAAAACACACCACAGCTGACCACAGTGGCCTGCATGAGTGGCCTGCCTGAACAACTGCTCACCCGTGTACATGCAGGTAAGCATCAGGCCTAAAGCAGCCATGGCCCGGTGTGGGCTGTGCACGTTCACTCTGTCCACACTCAGTTTGACAAGGGACTCTGCATCCAGTCGGGAAAGCTGCTCGGAGAGCAGGAGGCGCTCCAGACCTCGGAGTGCGCAGTGATAGATGATCGAGGGAGTGGACTCCTCACTGCCAGACAGCATCACCCCACACATCTGGGTAAGAAGAGAGGTCCATTACCACTTTTCTCCAAATCCATGGGCCCACTGGGGGATCCCACAAGGGAAGCCGCCAGGGCCCACTCACCTGTATTATTGATGCTGAAAACTCTGGCCCCACATCCAGGGGATAGTTCTCAATGAGATAGAAAGCGGTGGCACACATCACCAGCACATGCTGCTGGCTGTGCACGTTTACACAGCTGAAAATGGGAGACCACCAAGCTCAGCTCACACAGCAGCCACTCCTGCTGCAGTGAGGACAGCTTCTCAGGGGCCCAGCCTTTCTGTGAGCTGCAGGCCATACCACTCCCCAGAGCCTCGCACCCTGCCGTCTCCAGTAACACACCTGGCCCTCTCGTCTGGCACGTCCCCTACACCGCACCCCCGTGCAGGCCACCCCATTCCTACAGTTGGCGAGACCAGGCAAGTCCCCTCTGCTTCCTCAAGTGCCTACCCAGGTGGCACTTGCACCTTGTAATCCTGAGCTGTGAGGCCACTGTGGACAAAGGAGCTGCATGCCGCCCTCTCCACCGTGCAGGTGAGCCCATGTGAGGCTGCCCAGCCTCCCAAGGCCCCACCTCTGCTTGCCATACCAGCCTGGACACAGCTGCCTCTGGCCCCTTCCAATCCTCAGGGCCCCACAACTCTGCACATGACTGCTCTGGGCCATACTCGACGACGGGAGAGGGGACAGCTGTCCAGCAGTCCTGCTCACCCAAAGCTCACCATTCAGGGAGGACAAAGAATGAGAACCTCCCTACAGGCCCATGCCACCTCTGTCCCAGACAAAGTGCCCTCCAGTGTGCCATGCTCCCCACTCCTGTCTCCCCACACTGTACACCTGCTGACACACCTGATCTGTGTCCCACAGCCCTCTGGCAATCAAGGCTCACTTTGATCCTCTGTTCCCTCTGCCTCATGTCTCTCTGGCCTCTCAGTCACCACCCTAAGAAGGGTGCCCATCTGGGTTCCTGCCTCCTGTGCGTTAGAGCCTGCTGTGCACACCTCGGACTCGGCAGAGAACCCTCACTACCCAGCCTGCCCAGCCCACTCACTGGGCTGCCCCCTTGAGGCTTGACAGGAGGTAGTCACTGACAACTGGGATCAGCTGCTTGGCGGTGTCGTCCAGGAGGTCGCACTCCAGCACGTACAGGGTGCCGTGCAGGGCTCCAATCTGGCTGGGCAGGTGACTGCTCCTGAGGGTGCTCTCCAGCAGGCGGCTAACAGGCTCCGCAACAGCCTTGTCCTGGGCGCAAGCACAGATGCGAACTCCCTGAGGTGTATGCTCTTGTGCTCCCAACTCCCTGCACCTGACAGTGCTGTCCCCATGCTGCCATGGAGCTGGGAACAGAGTTCTCACAGCTGGAGTTTGCAGCCCCTCTCTCTTAGAAAAGGTGGCCCGAGGCCTCACAAAAGCAATGAGAGGCCATCAGTAATCCTGCTCTCTGTGAGAACCTGTGTCCCACTGTGTCTGCCTGTTACTTCCTTCTCATCCCCTCCACATACTGGCCCATGGCACCTGGGTGGCTTTATGGACTTTCCTGAGGACTGCCCCTGCCACACAGCCTCAATCTACTTCTGCAAGCACAATACCAGGATCTACTGCTAAGGGTGACAAGAGCAAAGAAAGTGACACACTTGGGCACAGGATGCTGCCTGCAGCCAAGCAGGACAACAGGAAACACACACTAGCCAGCTGTCTTCAGGAACATTTGGGGCACAGAACAGGGAGGGGAGCCCATCTACCTTAGGGTCCATTTATAAAATCCTTATTCCTGACTTGGTGTATCTCACATTTGCCTGGAGGAGCTGAGTCGTGGCACAGAACCACAGCAGGCCAGCTGCAGAGCCCCCTGTGGAGAAAGGGCCTCCCACCAAGTGGGCTGATGGCACCGCCCTCATAGCACCCAGAGGGTGCCTCTTTGAAGAATGTTCGCACAGGGCGAGCAATGAACACATTGTCCCTGTGCTCTAGACAGCTCAAGCCACCCACGATGGAAGATACCTGCTTGTGTCTCAGGCTCAGCGATGCAGCTCTATAGGGAGTAACTAGGAGGGATGAGAGGTGGGCCCTGCCATGTTCTGTCACTGGGTCAGGCTGTGGACAAGGCTTGATGGAGGACAGTTAGCAGAGCCTGGTGGCCAGACTGTGGCAAGGCAACCACTACAGCAGTGGCTGCTGCTACTGGCATATGGAGGGGAGCCCTGGCAGGTCTTCCATGAGGCTCCTATCAGTGGTCCCAATGCCTAGCATAGGGCAGGCAGCCTCTCTTGTGTCCAAGGGGGAAGACAGTTCCCACTGCTATCATGAAAGTGGACCCTAGGGGACACAGGAATCAGAAGTATTACAGTATGGGCTACGCTATGTGACAAAGAACAAATGGACACCAGCTGCAATAGCTGGAGTCACTCTTCTCTGATGGCAGGGCCAATACACTAAGCCATACCCTGGAGAGGTACGTTACCAAGGTACGTTCAGTGGCTGTCACATGGTAATGTGTCCCACGACAGGACTGTCCTCTGGCAACCAGCATCAGGTGACAGGGAACTCACTGGGGGCTTTGCCTGACCCCGAAGGATTAGCGTCTTGTCACAGGCCAAGGGAGCTTGTTCTCCTTTCCCCATCAGTGCACAGCAGCCCACTTCCAGCGTCATGCTCTCGGACTTGCTGGCCTCAGAATTCGAGTTCGTGAGTCACTTGGTCTAAGGTGTTTCTCGAAGCAGCACAAATGGGCTAAGTCTCCCTGCTGCCAGAAGCAGACTCTAGTACCCAGGCTGTGGGAGCGGACATGCAACATGACTGTGCTAAGAGCCTCTGGAGGGGACTGTGTTAGCTGAGAAGTAGGGCACCTGGACCACATCATAGGACAGACTGGAGAGGCCGGTCATGTGCCCACCATCTGTGTTGTTCCTAGGCCATCACACACCTGCAGTCCTGTGGGGATAGTCAACTGTAATGACACAGAACCAATGGGTACAGAAGCCCCAAACCAGGCTCAGCTACATGACATGGCAACCTGAGGGACAGCCCCAACAGGAGCTGAGTCCTCTCTAGCTGACCAGAGCTGCATCTTTCATGTGCCAGAGGGTTCAATTCAGGATGTATGTGGCCAACACAGGTCCCAACCAGAGTAGGCTTGAGGGCTTCAGCACAGGCAGCCTCCACATCATCTCTCATTTACCATTCCCAGGACAGCAGCTCTACTTACCATTCCCAGGACAGCAGCCGCCTTACAGGTGGCTGGCACCAGGTACTGGATGAGAATCTCATCCTCTGAAGGGTGTACCCGCCGCAGTTCTGTCAGGGTTGAATACATCATCTCGAACTGGTTGCGCTCAGTGAACAAGTCTGAGACGACGAGAAGCTGCACACACGGAAGGCAGAGACAGGAAGGAGGAGAGCCAGACTGTGAGGAAGGTGGCCCCATGTGCTGCTGGGGCAAGTGCTTGTTCAAATATCCATGGAGAACTGAAGATGGGAACTTTTAGGGGCCCTAACTAGGAAAGACACCAATATGAACCTGGAGACCTCAACTACAGGAGCAGAGAGCTGGCCCCTGGTAGTCCTGGGAAATCTGCCGAGGGCAAGCTGTGTGGGGATGCCTGCCCACCGGCAGCCCCAAGAGGAATGCTGTCTCGGCTATGCTTCCAAACAGTGGGCCCTCCCTGTCCCTTCAGGACGTGGGAAGAGACAGACACTTGATTATTTGCTTCAGAAACAAAGGTCCTGACATCTCTCCTTTGTATCGCATGCTCCTCAGGTCAGCTCTTCACCTCACACCTGACCATGGGCAGTGGCTGAGCATCAGCCCCTGTAGGCTCTGCAGGAGCAAGCTGGTAGCTGGGGCTGGAGCCTGCACCGTCTAAACCAGCATCCTCAAGAAGTCCCCAGTATGCCAGCTACTCCAGACCTTTCGGGAGCTCATGAGTCAGTACCTCCTGAAAAGCACCAATGTGGTACTACTGGTCTTTCTACCTCCTGCTTTCTCGAGTGTACGACAAATTTTCTAGAGGTTACTGGATGCTAATAGACAGAATGCCTAATAATAGATGTCTGTATTTTACGTTCACAAGTATGTAAGATGAGACTAATTTTCAAAAATTATTTCTTAGCTCCAGTGCAAAGAGACAAAAGCCTCGGGGTCCAAACTAGCTGCAGAGTGAAGTCCTGGGACCCTCCTGTGGGACAGCTGCATGACCTGGTGCTTCTCGATAGTGTGCTGGCAGAGGAGACAGAACATAGGAGGGTGAGCCCTGGGACCTGAGGCAGAATGACATGCCCTCCATCTCTCCTGTACTGCGAAGGGCTGCTGCTGCTGCACTCTGAAAGTGTGCACTGTCACTTCAGCAGTTTCATTAACCCTAGCGTACCATGTCTGGGTGTCTGTGAGGCTCCCACTAGGGCTCTAAGCATGTGTGTGGAGTGTGCAAGTAGCACTCATATATTGTGTATCAAGTGCAGGCCAGTGGAAAACATGTGGCAATGTGTTGTGTGTCTTGTGGGAGGTGTGGCGATGATGTGAGTCTGGCACACATTTGCGTGGCGTGAGGCCAGGCTGCACAGGCACATGCTCCTGTGACAGGGAAACAGGGAAGGCACACGTACAGAGCGAACCACTTCGCTGATCAGGATGACCGGGGTCCTTCTGGCTGAGCTGGAAGGCAGGAGCCAGCGGCTGTACAACTCGAGCAGAAATTGTGAACAGGAGTGGATGTCGACTCCGGCTCGATGTTTCCTGCAGAGCATGTGACACCAATAGATCTCCACATACAGATGAGAAGGTCATTTCAGTAAAGGCCCCACTGGGAGCATTCTAAATTCCTTTAATAACCAAGACCAAACCAGGCACAGTGGTGCACACCTGAAATCCTAGCACTCTGGGGAGCGAGGCAGAAGGATCCCAAGTTTGAGCCCAACTTGGGAAATTCAGTGAGACTTTGTCTCAAAATAAAAAGAGAAAAAGGTCTGGGATGCAGCTGGGGGTGAAGGGTCTGGATTCAACCCCAAGAAGTAAAGGGAAAATAAATACATAACGAGGCCACCGCACACCTGGAGCTGACTGGAGATGTGGGCGGGGACGCAGGCACAGGGGCGTCTGCTTCCTCCTCCTCTTCCTCATCCCACTCCTCTTCTCTCAGCGGGGTAATGCTGTTCCCCAGCCACACAGAGTGAATGGACACCTGCCACGGAAACAGGACCACAGCTTGCGATCGGGACAGATTGAGCACAGCTGCCATGGAACAGCCCCTCACAGGGGCTGTTGGAACCTCTGTGATGGGCCAGATCACTATGGATGGCTTTGTTCTTAAGCCCAAGGCCTGGAATGGCAGCAGAGGGGGTGCAGTAAAGCAGTGCCAGGGAGTGACAACAGGTGACCTCTGAATGTCACTGGTGACAACAGGGGATCCGCATGAGGACTTTCTCAAGGCTGGCTTCTCTAATGCGCAGCCCCATGAAGTGGACCCCACTTGCCTGAGCTGCTGTCTCAGGGAAGCCCTGAGGGTGCTGCTAAAGCCCCAAGTCAGAGGCTGGCAAGCAGCATGGGTGGAGACAGCAGCTGGCAAAGGGTCTCACAGGTCTCACCCATCTGGTGGCTGCCATCCTGTTAGGTTTTATGCACATCTATATAATTATGTCTGAAACATCTTCAGATCTCTTTGGGATAAACATTATAAATACAGCAAAAGTGAAAATTCCTTGTACAAGTCCATTTAGGCTGGGCACTGTGATGCACACCTCTAGTCCAGCTACTCAGGAGGATGAGGCAGGAGAGTCACTAGTTGGAGGGCAGTCTAGGAAGGTAGTAATACTCTGCCCCAAGATAAACAATAAAAAGGGGCAGGATGTAGCTCAGGAGTAAAGTGCTTGCTTAGCATGCTTGAGACCCTAAGTTCAATCCCCAGTACCAGCAGAGAAGGAGAAGGCCACAGAGCAGGGGAGAAGGAGGTTTGGGCAGGTAGGCACCCACCCTCTCTCCTGGAGACATGCCTCGGCCCACAGCTAGGGCAGCTGCGTGACTCACCTGGCCCAGCTTGTAGCTCATGTTGCCCAGCTCCCGCTCAGGGTTGATCTGCAGCAGCAGCCTGTCATGACTGATGAGGGTGCCTGCAAAGCAACATACCGTGAGTGCCCTCTCCATATGCCCAACACGGAGAGCTGAGGCTGTCCAGGTGGACCTGCTGCTGCCTGCCGGGCCCCCTACCTACCCATAGGCCCTCTCTGTGGGCAACATGAATTAGGGTGCCGAGCCCCACAGGACTCAGGTTTTGTGTTATGGAGGCAGGGCTGGTAGGTGAACAGCACTATCACTTCTGTTCTTAATAAACAGGATCACTCACGAACTGATAAAGGCCTGTCGCCGTCACCCACAAGTCTCCTGGAGCCACATGTCTGCAGGCCTCCCAGCCCACGCTTCCTCTGCGACAGCTGTGCCACAGGTATCATGATCATGGGCTGTTCGGGTTACTGTCCCAGGAGACCCCTGGAGCACGTAACACACTGCACCCCTGTGCAGAAACTTTTCCAAATAAAGCCTTTGAGACGCTTAAACTTGGCAGCACCAATGTTTCACAAATGAGGGGATCACCAACGTAAAACCTCTGCATTATGAAGTAACAATCAACAACATTTCCTTCTTCCAAGCCAGAGTGACAAGCTCCAGTACCCAACGTGGGGCAGGTCAGTCAGCGGAGACCGGGCTGGGGTGGCCAGGGGCCAGTGTGGGGCTGCTTGAGAATGCCGGGTTTCTCAGGAGAATGACAGAGCCTGACTGGTGAGACACACTTGACGTCTTCACATGAGCAAGCAGCCAGACTCTCTCCCCACAGCCGTCTTGGGAACTCAGCGCATGGGGTTCCCCAGCATGACTGGCCAGACAGGAGGGAGTGTGTTCACTCAAAGCTCTCACTTCCTTGACAACAGCATCACTGAGACTCCCAGAACACACCTGGCACCTATGTGTGCCATGACCCAAGGTTCCTGCCTTGCAGTGTTGGGGACAGCAGCCCCTCCTCCATACCTGTAGTGGCAGGTGACAGAGAAGGGACAGGATCCCACGCCTGGTATGAGTGATGGGTGGCAATATTCTCCCGGTTGGAAACCATCGCTTGAATCTCCTGCTCTACAATCCCTCTAATTATGCTCAATTTTCTCCCAAACCTGTAGTGCAGAACAAAAACAAAGAACATTTTGCTTCTTTCAGAATCTTTCAAAACCACCAGCTTTCTCTCTGCTGTGCCTAAAGGAACGGATCCATATGACAGCAGAGGAGCCCACTTTGTAAATGACTCCTGTGGCTTACTCCTGTGCTACCAGAGACCCCAGAAAAACCAGTGATGCCCATGCAATTTTAGGCCAAAAGTTTCTATGTCTCACTGGCACGGAATCATTCTGGATCTGCACCTCCGTGGCCAAGGGAAGCTGCTGGCTACTAGGGTGGGGAAGGGCACTTACTGCCCCCACAGTGGGACATAGCACACACGAGGAGGCCAACCTGGTATCAAGAGCTTTGAGGGGCTTGTTCCGGGGCTGCTGCTCTAGACAGCTCACTGCTGGGTTGCCAGCAACAGGCACAGTCATGGCGCTGAGCACCAGGGAGGTGATGGCCTGGACGGCTAGCACGTGGATCTGGGTCCTCTCCGTGTCCTCCTAGAAAGACAGGCCACATACTGATGACACAACAAGACAACAGCCAGCTCTACTGACCACTCACGAACAGCCTGCAGGCCCCAAGTGCCACAGAGGGACACAGCTTCCACTGCCAAGGTTATCTATCTGCCCAAGCTCCCCTAGTACAGGCAGCATTGCTACACATTTGTGCCTACCATGAATCTGATAGGCAAAGCAAGGGTGTCCAAGGGCATGAAGTCCATCCTAAGTGTGGATTACTTGGTAAGGAATGGTCCTGAAAGAGCCTCACTTTAATGAGCACTGTGTATGATGACCTATTGCATCTGTAGGTAGGTTTAAGGGTCTCAATGATCTGGGCCTATCCCCACCCTTGAACTGCTGTGTCTAGGGTTCCCATTATGCCTTCTGCCAGAACCAAGGACTCTTGCTCCACACCTCCAACACTCTGGCTCTGCTGTACAGGAACACGGTTGTTATTCGTATCACGTGAACATAACAGACATTAATACTTCCAGAGGAATAAACTCGGTGAAGCAATTAAAAAAGGAAACTGCATCCATCTGCATGGCCTGGATTAACTGCCTTTTCTAATTCAACCCACACTCTTTTAGACACTAGAAAATAAACAGAACTCAATGATATTTTCAAGACAGACTCAGACCTTACTGATCCTTAAAGCGCAACATACCATAATTAGGCACCTCAGGGAAATCGGGCCCTGCTGGAAACATCAGGCAAAACGTGATCTTTCAGGTTGTTTTTTTTTTTTTTTTGGTGGCACTGGGGATTAAACTTTAGGATTGCTAAGCATTTTTAAAATTTTAGTTTGAGACAGGGTCTTGATAAGTGGTCCAGGCTAGCCTTGACCTTGCCACATTCCTATCTCAGCTTCCCAAGTGGCTGGGATTACAGGTGTGTGGCAGCACATGAGGTGAGGCTTCTTTCTCAAAAATGCTCACTGCCTTCTTTTTGTCAACTGCCAGGGTGTTATTGGCTGCCAGTCAGCGCATCTGTGTCCTGCTGCCTTACCTCGGGTGGGCTCTCCTCCTGCTCCATCACAAGGGGCTGGGTCACCAGGACACCAAGAAGGGTGGCCCAGGTTTCCTCAAACTGGGTACGACTGGTCCACCCTAAGAATACAAGTCTCCTGTTAGTTCCACCGGCTTCTCCAACTTGTGGGTGGTTGTCACAGCAACATACTGACAGGCTCTGCAAGGGCATCAAACAAAGAACCCCCTTTTCCAACCCTCATGACAACTCCATGGGGGAAGGAAATGTTTCCCTTTATCTGATCAATGAGAACACCAGAGCACACAGAAGTTGGACACCCTCAGCCCATGGGGCTAGAGGAGGACATTCAGCATGCCCACCACCTGGTCAGTCATCTAACCAGTCTAACTAGAGTCTAACCAGAGACTGGTGATACAGCAGGGCTCGTGGACAGACCCATAGGGCGTGGCCTACACTGTGTCTCAATGACACCGTGAAGATTGGAAGCTTACAATACCGTTTCTGTCACATCTTACGATGGACTACAGCATGGGATCTGGGTGGGCACAGCCAATACTCAGTGCAGCCCACTTGAGAGGTTATGCTCTGGGCTTCTCAAGGAGCCACTCTCAGAGGGGAATCTGGCATACAGCTGTTTCTGGGGGTTGTGCTGAGTGACCTGAGGAGACTCAGGGCACTCACTTGAAAGCCACAAGTGTCAGGGAAAAGAGGAGAGGAGGAAACCACAGCACCAAACACCATGCCCTCCCTGTTAGAGCAGCTATGGAGATAGGCCGACGCAGACATGGCAGAGAGAAACACTGACAGTTCGTGAAAGGAAGGCACACTCATGCTCTGGGGAAAGCACAGGCAGCAGCGTGGGCTAAGCAGCTGGAGCACAACTTGGAAGGAGGCTGCCTATAGATGGGCAGACATGTAGCAGGCCAGGGGCAGAGGAGGGAGGAAGAACGGCCCTCCAAGAGAGAAGATTACTTAGAAAGGGTGATAGGCCATCTAGCTGCATGAGTAGGAAGCTGACACGAGGTAACTGCTGCTTGAATGTTCTGGGTCAAAACAAGCACAAAGCATGTAGAAGGACTGAGGTGGCCTGATGGTAGAGTCAGGGTGCCAGGGCAATCTTTTTGTTCCACAGAGGGGAAAGGATAGCACTGAAAACATCAAACAGGAGGACAAAGAGAACATTCGAGAAAGTCCGTGCTGCTACTCAGCCTATGTGGATGATAAAGGGTGGAACTGGCATCACCACGTCAATTAGACACACCTGCCCTGACTGCAAACACCTCTCAAGCACATACGCAGATAGAAACTTCTGTCATAAGGCTCAGCATGTAAAGCAAAATGGTCTCTATGACAACCTACATCTGGGCAGGTGTTGAGTGAGGAGCCCAGCCCTGGGACTGGGACCTACAGGGCAGTGTCTGGGACCCCAGGGAACTTGCCAGTACCTAGCGTATTGATGCGGTAAATGAACTCCTTGAAGACTTCCTTCTCCTGCAGGAATTCCACAGGAATCTCGGGGAACACAGTGCTGAAGTCCCCTCCTGGCTTGGGGGACCACCCAAGTTTCCACACCTGAGGAAAAGGAAGGAAAGCATGTCACCCAATGGGGTCAGGATGGTGCATGAAAAAAAAAAAAAAAACAGAAAAGGCCATTTCTCCAGCTAGGTCTCCTGCCAAGCCAGCTGTCCTTGCCACTGCTTGGCTTTCCAGAGGGGTCCATGCCCCTCGAAGCACCTTCCAGCTCTTCTCCTGACCTCTCTCCAAACCAGACCCTCTGCCTTTCTGTGGTGCTGCTCTGCCCTGGCCCCACCAGTCCTCTTGGATGATGCTGGTCAGGGAGCCAGGCGTCAGATGGCACCTACGCCCATAAATATGTATCAAACTAAAGGTGGTACGGATGAAGCTTGGCCTTGTGCACGTGTTCTGGTAAGCAGGCAAGAAATCCAGCGGCGTGGTCCACTTCTGTAAGTGTTCTCTCCTAGGTATTCGCACAAACACAACCCACAGAAGGACCCTGAGGCCAACCCACTGCTGTGCAGTAGCAGGAAAGGTGACTGTCCAGCCACCCTGGCCATATCCTTCAGTGAAGCCACAGGGACTCTGAGGGAGCCCAGGCTGAGAGCTCACTCGGGATCCTCACAGTCCACCGGTGGCAGGGCTCAACCTCACCATGGGAAAGCCACTCATCACACTCTAAGGGTCCTCTAGACAGGCTTTGTGGTGCTGCCACAGCCACCTCCCTGGCCAGGACACTGCAGAGTGTGGCTAAGCCCGCTGGAGTTACCTATAGTGCACACAGCCTGTGGGGCTAGGACCTTCAGACAATGTGCCATCTAGACTGGGTTTCTTGCCACTTCCCACGCACTCCCCAGGATGCACAAGGCCCGCTCATGTGCAGGCCCCATGACCACAGCCCTGCTTCTCTGTGCTATAGGCACTGCCAGCTCTGTTGGGCTGCTGCTTCCCCTCAGAATGGGCCTCTACACCATCACCCTTCATGGCAAGACCCTTACCTCCTCTACATCCAAATGGTGCTGCACCTTCCTCAGTGTGCGTGTCTCTAGGACCTCACATATATGCACCAGAGGCTGTGTTCCAGGGGCAAGTGTGGGCCTTTGCCAGGTGGAAGTAGTGGCTACCCTCGGACCTGCTGAAGCTGACCTACCTGAGACTGAGCCCTGCTGTTGCTAGAGCAGGCCATAGGGGTTATAGTTGCACTGGTGATGGTCATCCAGCCACTAGCAACACTCCTCACATGCTAAGTTTCTAGCATTATCTAAAACAAGAGACCTGAGCAGCCGTGTCTCCAAGTATTCTGAAGACAATTGCAGAGGTGGAACTGCAAAACTGCTTGTGTGGAAATGCGCAAGTATTTCCCAAGGCAATCACTTCTGAAGGAAAATATGTGAGACTATAATTTCTAGTCTAACAAAAAATAGTCTAATTACTTCCAAATCACATTGAACATTCATCTATCAGTGGAGAAGAAATCTTATCTGATGGTGTAGCACCTCAGCTCAGTTTAGAAAACCCAGCATTTCTACTAAGAACACTGCACAGTATGCCTAAGGACAGCAGACAGGTGTCACTGGGGCTATGTGGATCAGCCTTGGGTTGCTCTGGCAGTGAGGCATAAACAAGCAGACTCACCAGGGGTGGTACTCGCGTGTAGCTGTTGACGAGCGGCAGGCGAGCGAGACTGACCACAATATTCTTGAGCACCGCAGTGAGAAATGCAGGCACGCTGCTGTTCCTCTTGTGGCCCAAGGCCAGCACAGATTGCAGGGACTCCACCATCTCTGCCACCATCTCGCAGGCCGTGGTGATATACTTGGGATCTGTACCAGAGAGTGTGTCTGTCAAATACATCCCAGCCCACCTTGGCCCACATACCCTGAGGTATGACAGTTACTCAGGCCACCTAGCCTTTGGCTGGTGATGAGGGTGTGTGTGTTTCACCTCGCAGTATGCATGGGAACCACGCTATTCTCCCCATTTCTGCCGAGATAGTGTCAACAGTTGTGGGCCTGAGCTCTGGTCTTGGACCCCAGGCTTTTTGCCCTCCCTCAGCAGCCACTAGCTTGGCAGCATCTGGACAACAGCATGTTGCCCCTCAGCTTCACAGGCCCTTCAGGACAGCTCCCTGCCTGGGCTGGCCCTGGCTCTCCCAGGCTCCACACTTGTCCCTTGGCTAGAGCATACAGCCATGCCCCACATCCAGGTTGCTCCACGGGCTGAACTCTCAAAGCACAGTGCTGAGGGGAATGCCAGGCCCTGATTAAGAACCACTGTGCTCACCTGACAGGTGCCGAGGATGGGACTGTTCACACTGCAAAGTTAAAAACTTGTTTCTTATATTGATAAATGTTTACTAGATGGATATTAGCCTTAGCCACAAGATTCAACTTCCTTGGCAACTTCCTAGTTTAGAAAAATAATTCTTATTGGAGTTAAATCAAGCTAAGACAAACAAGGTTGACATAATATTTATTGGCCAATCTTTACCAAGTATTAGCATATGGTGATATAAAAAACTGAATTTTTCCCATTGGGTAGGATTAAATGAACTAGCTGAAAGAGGGCCTGTGAAGAATGGACACAACCGTATCTATCCAAACTCACCACTCCACCACCCTGCTCCGGTGCAGGCCCTGAAACACCAGCCACAGCTCAGCAGGCATCTATGACAACTGAGCGGGAAGGCAGTTCCCGAGTGCTCACTGCGGACCAGGGTGCACTCTAGGTGTGGCACATTTGCAGCCCTTCTTACCTTCACTGAAGAAGCACAGCATAAATAAAATAAGCTGCCACTCTGCTGGAAAACACCTAACCTGGGAAGTAAATGTTTTCCTGCCCCAAAAGTATCAACAGAAACCATGGAATCACTAGCTACAGGCTGCAGGGACTATACAGCTCCAGATAAAAACCCAGAGAAAAGGGGGCTGAGGATTTAGCTCAGTGGCATAAGCACCTGCCTTGCAAGCAGTTGGTCGTGGATCCCCAGTACCAATAAAAAGAGAGAGAGAGAGAGAGAGAGAGAGAGAGAGAGAGAGAGAGAGAGACCAGAGAAAAGCATGGTGTGCTGAGCTGGCATTGCTTCTATGAAACCTTGAACTGGGACCAGAAAAAAGAATACTGCACCTAAAACTAACAATGGAGACACTGCCTCAAACCAGGTACTTCTGTACCTGTGATCACAAGGTATTCTGCCTACACCATCCAGCATGGATCTGACTCCTGGTGCCCCAAGAGAAGAGAAGCAGGCCCCCCCAGGGAGGCACATCTCCTCTGCAGGGGGCCAACCTGCAGCTCATGGAATAACAGAGCTGAAGAGCCCTAAAGCCATAGGCTGAGAGGGTAAGCAGTCACTCAGCCACAGTGTTTCCTCCCCAGCAGCCTTGTCCCTGCTGGGCCAGTGCAATAGCTACGCTTAGTCAGGAGAGTAGCACAGTGAAAAGCTGCTGATGGGCTGAAAGACAATGATTTCAATTTTGTTAGTACAAAATTTTCTTTAAAAAACCTACCAAAAGAGATGGCAGAAACAGACACTCAGGTTATGCTATACCACGTGGGTAGTTGCCACTAACCTCAAGTTCTTTAGTATTCCTATTTATTCACTAAACAAACACTTGCTCGTCATTTGCAACAGGCCAGAGAAGCAACACACATTCCCTGCCTTCAAGGAGCTCAGAGCCAATGTAGTCGTGTGCAAAGCACTAAGGGAGAGACACTTCTCTGAGGGCCGAGTGGGCTGAGGATGAGGGAGGGGCTGGGGACATGAGGCCCAGTGGGGTGGGAAGCTTAGACAGTTGGAGCACAGGGCTTGGGCCGAAGCAGCAGAAAAAAAAGAGTAATCCCTTAAATTCAGGGATAAGCAACAGAGGCCAAAGTAAGTCAGTTTTTAAAAGCTCACATTTCCCACTTTGTAAGTCTCCTTTGTGAAATGAATTTCAAGTTCAAAAAGACCATAAGAGAAATGGTCCAGAGACTTACTTCGTGTGTCTGCATCTACTTCATCCTCTTGCATGCTCATCCGGCTTTCTGGACTGAGAAGCTGGTCTCCAGGCTGCACTGCAACTGAAACAAAGTAGAGGGCATGAGAACCTCCAAACAGGTCTGCCATCCCTCTAGTCACACGGCCAGTCTGTGTGGCCTCACAAAGCTTCACAAGGATGGCTGTGTCAGTGAGGGCTAACTGCCTTCTATTTAGTCAAGCAGAAAATAGCAGATGAGACCAGACACAGTACCTGTCTCTTGGTTAATTATGAATGTGCAAAGATTTGTGCTGCTCACTTGGGTTACCAAGTGTCCTGTCCGCCACCTCCACCCTTGAGGTTTTATCAGACAGTTCATGATTCATCACTGCTGAAAGCACCACTGTAACCCCAAAGAAGCCTGGCTTTTAAAAATTAATCCCTAGGGGCTGGGGATTTAGCTCAGCGGCATAAGCACCTGCCTTGCAAGCAGGCAGTCGTGAGTTTGACCCCTGGTACTGATGAAAAGGAAAAAGAAAACAAAACAAAAAAAAATTTAATCCCTAGATCTTCATTTTCAAGTTGACTACAAATGCACAGATGAAAACAATTTAAATGATGAAACATCAAAAGACCACTCTATAAAATGTCTACTTTAAAAATACAAAACTTCAAAACACCCTCTAATATGTAAACTATAATGTCCAATTTTTAAGCATTCTGATGACTGACCCTCACTGAGGACACAGCACTGTTTCTTGCAAAGAATAAGTAACTTTAATTTTACAATACATTAGTATTACAATGCAGTATAGAAATAGCGTTTTGACTCTAACAGAAAACAAGCCATCTTCTGAATGTAATCTTAAAAAATCATGTAAGACTAGAAACATGAAACAGTCAACCAGAACCAGAGAGCAAAGCAATATTTTTAGAAAGCTGAACTCCAAAATCTAGACCAATTGACTAGAAAAGCTAATTGGAATTACAGTCTAGCACAGATGCCAAGATTCTAGAGGTGAAGAGACGGAGCCTTCCAAAGATAAAGCCCACATCCCATCCACCTCCTCACCCGAGGGCCAGGTGTGGTCCTGGACTACTGGGGCCCAAAAGAGCACCGTGCGGAGATGCACTGCTCATTACTGATTCTGCAGGGTAAGAACATGGACTTACTGGCTTCCAAGATGAATCGCAGGCAGTGGATGAGGGAACAGGCGTGGGTCACAAACTCAGGGGAGGAGACCACATTCCAGAGACTGGGCTGCTGCAGAGCCAGGCAGCAGCAGTCCAGCCCAGCCTGCAGGTCCAGACTCAGTGGGATTTGCTCGTGAATCAAATGCCATGACAGGGCCTGGAAGAAAGTACCGTGTCAGAGGCCACTGGCTGTCTTTCCCATTTGGGAGCTTTCAGGGCCACGCACACCTAAGGGAGACCCACTGTGCCAAGATCTCAGGGCCAGGATCCAGATGAGCTTGCCCTTTCAACTTCCTAACATTCGGTCATGACCACCACTGCATCTCGTGGGGCCCCACTCTGGTGGCTTCTTCCTCCTTCAGCATCACAGGCTCCTCTGGAAGCCTCTCTCAGGCCATGCAGTGGCTGGCCAGAGGCTCTTCTCTGGGGTTTCTGCAGCTCAGGCTCACCTCTGTTGCAGCCACGGGGCTCAAGTTGGAAATGTGGGCTCTGGGGACAGCAGGACTTGGGATAAATGCTGGACAACTACTTCCTACCTGGGCAAGTCTCTGGGCCTCTCTGAGCCTTGCTAAGACATGAGAAAAAGCCCACCCCATTAGGCTGTCATGGGAACCACCTATGATGGTGCACACGCAGGCACAGAATTTGACTGGTAGCTGTTACTCTGTGCTGCAAGCCGAGATTTGCTTTTTAGTTGTCCCCACTGGACCAAGCCTTGAAAGATAGCCCTGATTCAGAGGGATACTTCTTCAATGTCCTGGACCAATGCAAGAGACCCTCATCTCCTCAGCAGGAGGTGGCAGCTACACACTGAGGATGAACAGCACTCAAAAGAGCCAGGTCAGGCCCTTTTCCAGCTGGTGCAGGAAAAGGAAACATGGTCCCCATGGATCAAATGCACAGGTTTTCTGCCTGACTTAAAATGCAGTAAACTACCCAGATGATTAAAATTAGCATCTGTAGCAGGTCTGCTTTGCAGGGGTGAGAGGCTGCCTTCTGACCTCTTCTAGTCCCTATGGGGCACCCATTGATGCCAGGGGTGGGACCTTGACAGCATGCCGCCGTGGTCACAAGGATGGGGAGGAAGAGCCAACCAGATTGCTCAGGGCTCTTGGTTTTCAAACAGCATGGCTTGGTCTCAGTGCTAGTTACACAAACAGCAGGTTCCGGAGCTGCTCTTACCTCTAGGGTCATCACCACAAACTTCACCATGTCTTTTTCCTTCTCAGGAGGAAGGTGCAAATAGGCAGGCACTTTGGACACCACCACCAGGTACTGTGCCAGGGCCCGGGCCAGTGTGGTGAGGGACTGGTACAACGTGGCATCCCCTGTAACATGAGATGGTTGACTGTGACCTGGCACAGGCTTTTCCCCTTCAAAGGGCAGTCAAGCAATTCCACAAGAACTTGAGCAGAGCATCAGAGGGGCTACCTTGACATGGCCCGGACCACAGGGCCACAGCCTTGCAACAAGGTCTAATACAGACTTCCTGAAGGGTCTGCAGCTATGCACATGAGTGGCCAGGTGGCAAGCAAACAACAGAAATGCTGCTTCTTGGTTACCTCTGTCAATACTTTCAATATTTTAGATCAGTGGTACTGAGTGCTTGGTGCAAAGCACTAGGATAGCCCAGATATATTCTTAAAATAAGAGAAGTTTTTCTTTAAATTACCAAAGAGATCGTTCAACTTGCTCCAATAGGCTGTCAGCTTTGTGGGCAGGAAGGGCTGGAAGACCTGATGGACAGCAGGAAGCTGCTGAACAATGCTAGTCATGCGGTCCAGAGTCACCCCACGGGCCACTTCAAAAAGAGGGCTCTTCTGGCCAGCTGCAATTTCATTCAGGCTGAGGCTTAAGCACGGAGCCAGTAGGCTTAGGTTGAACTCCTAAAAACAGAGCAGAGCAGGTCATGCAAATGACAAGACTGTAGTTTCCAATCAGACAAGAGAGATAGTCTAAGCCAACACGAGCCTTTCTCAGATGGTTTGCATGCCATAGCTTAAATATATGAATAAGACCATTCAACACCTGCTCAGTAAATGTATGGTTTATGCTTTTAGATTTGTTGAAATAAAAATTCTAGTATGACAAATTTTAACTGATAAAAGTGGAGCCTCAAGGCTAATGTGTAGCCTGGCATAGGGGTGTACACACTTGGGAGGCCGAGGAAGGAGTACTGTCTTGAGTTCGAGGCTAACCAGGGCTACATGATGAATTCAAAGCTATCCTGAACTACTGTCAAAAGAAAGAAAGAGAGAGAGAGAGAGAGAGACAGAGAGAGAGAGAGACAGAGAGAGAGAGAGAGAGAGAGAAAGCAAGTAAGCAGGCCAAGGATTTAGCTCACAGGCATAAGCGCCTGCCTTGCAAGTATACGGTCATGAGTTCAATCCCTGGTACAAAAAAAAAAAAAAAAAAAAAAGGAGAGAGAGACAAAAGAAAACAAAAAGACTAACGTGGTATCTAAGAAATAAGCATGACACCAAGCATTCCTGCAGTTTGAGAAAGATATACAAAAGCAGCTAGAATAAGGCATAGTGGTATCTACATGCTGAAACTTTCCTTGGAAAAAGAGCTGTTCACTGGGCAATCTGTTTATGTTTTGCCAACTTCTTTTTAGCCATTTAAGGGTTTTTTTGCAAACAGACTTCTGATTTTAATATTCAAAAAAACACATTTCATCATCACGGCCCCAAACTGAATGCTGCTATGGTTACAGCTGGAACTTTTAAAGCTGCTAAAGGCCCACTCAGTGAATGGGGAAACGCCAATAAACTGGTCCATAAGCAAATTCACTGGTTAGCAAATAAACTCCCTCTGCATGGAACTTAAGAAGTGATGAACTTCAACAAACCAACCTTGGCTCTCCCAAGTCTCCTGCTGCCTCTTTAGGGCACTTCCTGGTCAACTGAATGGCAGCTGGTGCTCAGACCACACCCAGTACTGCTCACTAAAATACCCAACCCACCCTCTGGCTCTCAACTGGCCACCCTCCTGTGCCTGGCTCTCCAGTCCCATTGGGGACACCTCAAGGCAAGGCTGGAACATCATGAGGGCCAGATAGCTCTTCTTCCAATGGTCTCTGGTCTGAGGAGGACGTTTGGGGCAGAGGGATACCTCGAAGAGGGTTCCACTCTTCTTGGGACCTGCCCAGGGATCCTAGGATGGGGCCACCCATGCACCCACGGCCCCTCGGCTTCCCTGCTGTGTGCTTCTAATACTTGGGGAGAGGGAAAGTTTCACTACAGGTAGAGGGGTGGGGTCCCTTTTTCCTACTGCAGATCAATTTTTAGAACACCAGGACAAATTGTTGAAATCATGCATGATGACAATGATATCACACCTAGCTTCACTACTGTGAGACAGTGACAAAAAACTGGTTGCACTGGCCACTGCATTTTGTCTCATACCTGAAAGGTTAAGTTAAAATTTCACCTTTTTGAAGCCTAAGGTGGTTGAAGTAAAAACCTGCTCCCATTTGGAGCTGTCCCACCTTAATTAAAGGCCCAGTCATGTCCTCATCTCAATAGAGGTCTCCACACCCTATACCCTGGTGGGATGCCTGTGGTACATCACTCACAGGAAGATGAGACAAATCAATGAAGCCAAGTAAGCCACAGCGAGGGTCCTGCTGCCCCTACCGTGCTCATCATGAAAACACGCATGTCCTCGGCAGGGAGGCAATTCACCAGCTCTGCACCTTCCAGCAGCGCAGAATCTGACCTGGTCCAACACTGGGATTTGACGAGGCGGATGTACCAGTCCTGGGCAGAAGATGACAGGACAGGGAGTGTGATCAGGCAGGCATTTGAAGACCTCTAGTCCTGGTGACACTGGGCTTCTGGTCAGCTTATAGCTCATCAAACCTCAGCCTTTCCCCAGCACTTGCTGCTCCCTCGTGGGCCCTTCTGAAGTCTACCAAACTCAGCCAGGTTCCAAGGCTCAAGGTCCCAGCTCAGTCCTATCTGCCATAGCACTGAGGTCTCTCATGGGGTATGTGCAGGGCACAGGTCTCTGGGAGGCTGCAGATCTCCAAGACCTTGGCTCATCCCTCCACAGGACCCACTTGGTCCCTAATTCCAAGGTGTGAGTGCTGAAGGTGATGGTAATATTCTAAGGCTGTAACAGTGGCAGGGATGATTCACAGAAGGTAGATAGCAGCAGGACAGGGAAGTGGGCCAAGAGTGGAAGTGCCGAGATAAACATGCATGCAGCAGGAGCCAGGCTGTGAGGACCTCTTTTACTCCATGTGCCCCTGACCAGTCTCCCCAAAACCCTGGCAGTGAGGACCAGGTTTTGCTAGCTTCTCCTCACACTGCAACCTCCTGATGCACACCCCTGCCAGCTGATCCAATGTCAGCACTGTCGTTCTCACTAGAACCTTTCTGGTCCCCAAACGTCTCCTCCCTAGATCCCAGGCAGAGTTGCTGATGACCTGAGCCACGTGTGAGCCCCACTGCACACTCCTGTGTGTCACAAGATGACTGAGGCATCAGTGCGCCTGGGCTCCTGGGATCACACACAACTAGGCACTTACTTTGTCTGGGCTCACTGTTTCCAGGGCCACATGCCCATCCCCATCCAGTGGGTGGGAGGTAATCAGGGGTAAGGGGCTGAGTGAGTCTTGTACTGTGGAAAGACGGAACCTGTCCAGCAGGGAATAAAGCCTCTGGTGTCTGAAACACAAATAGAAATGAAACTGAAGTACAGTCACCTTCATCCTTGTCTCTGCGCTGCAGAGCAAGGTTCTAGAACCACACACCCCAAGGAATGAACAGTAGCAGTTCCTCAAAGCAACTCTTCTCAAACTTTCCCTTCAACACTCCTGCAGGTCAGGAAGCAAATTCAAGCCCTTGGCTACTTTATAGCAGCACAGATTATACCTCATTGACATCTTCTAGAAATTCTGTTCATGTCACACATTGCAATAGGCAATTCAAGGTATAACAATTAATGTAGGAATTCTTAATAGGCAAAAGACATTATCACTTGAAATCCAAGTGCACAAATTTTACTCATTCTCCCAAAGGATTACGAAAGGTTGTTTCATAAAAGAATCACCTCATGTGGTATAGGGTGTTTATAACCTTGACCCTCTAAGACTGCCTTCACAACAGGACTGTTCTCTCACATGCACAGTTTCCCCCAAGCAGTGGAGGACAGCATGAAAGATGCTCTTAATTTATTTCACAGCCATGGAAATAGGTCCACATTACAGATGTAAGAATTTCTGATAAGGTTTGGTGCCTGAATGGCCAAGAAGAAACACAACTTTAACAAGACATGGAAATAATTCTTGGGTGCTAAAAAATGGGAAATGTTTTCAGACTCACTAATTCTTATGGAGCAACTGGAATGTGTTTTGGTTTTGTTACAATACTGACAGCTCAGATTCTCATTCTTTCCCAGGGCTGTGACAGAGGCAACAGCAGCATTTGCAAGCCCCACCCCATGCAGCCAGGAGGGCACAGGTATCCTCCATACCTGTGGCAGACACGAGGGCCCCGGGTTCTCTTTGAAGAGGTGAGGCCCACTGTGTGGGATGTAGGAAGCCTCTCTAGGTTGGCACCTCTGCAGGAAACCCACCCACAAAACAGGTCTATTTCTTAGCCCATCAATCCATTCCCACACAAGCCTAAGTCTATATGTCCTGAGCAATCTGAATGCCAGCACCGCCAGGTCACAGCATTACCTCTGTGCAAGCCCACTGCTCTGCAGGTGCTCCTGAATTCTGTTGAGCTCTTCCACTGGCAACTGGGCCGTGCTGCTCTAAATAGACAAGAACACATCAGTGGGTCTAAAACACGTAAGGAAAAAAATGACCCTACATTATTCAGAAAGGGCAGACTGTGTGTGCACTTGTGGGAACATGGGCAGACCAGAAGCAGCTGGATCAGACACATGTGGAATGTTGCATTTATACACAGTCCTCAGATTCCTACCAGGCGCCACAGCAAGACGAAGCCTACACAGAAGTAAAGCCAGGGAAATGATCTGCTTGCCCTGCTAAGCTTTGATATAAATCAGGGTCAGTATTTTTGCTGTACCTGTAAGTTTGCAGCCAGCAACATTTCTACCCGGCGACAGGCCAGGGTGTCGACCCTGTGAGATAGTGCCCGGAAGGGGGTGCCCAGGAGCCTGTCCACATAGAGTGTGAGTACAGCGCCCGACTGGCTGAGGTGGATGCCTTCCAAGCATTGTAGCGTCTTCTTTAGAGTGGTTGGCTAGCATTCAGAGAGGGAGAATAGGAGCTGATTATTTGGGTGATTGGAAATTAGCACTTAGAAAGTCCCAGGACTTCATTTTCGAGGCACAGGAAGTCAACTTGAGAATCATCAGAATGAATACTTACAGTGGAAAGATTTTCACAACGAGACTGAATTGCCTGGATGAAAAGGCCACTGGCGGCAGAATTCCGATGGACAGCACTGATGAAGTCCTGCACTGGAGGCTCATGGGAAAGACTGATCAGATCCTGAATGTGGTTTATGATAAGCCATGTTAGGTGCTCGGAGTCATGCAGGTTCTGACACTGGGAAAGATACAATGCAATAAGCAGACAGTAAGCAGTCAGATAGTAATGCCAGAGAAAGCAGAGAGGGCAGGCAGGAGGAGGCACTTAAGAGGCACAAAGCATAGGTGATAGTGCCTGTCACCTATAAACATAAGCTTCAGTAGAAGCCATGACTAGGTAAATAGCCAAAGGTCAGAGGAACAGAAGAACATGGGCTCTGTTCTGTGGAGCGGTCATGGTGTGACCACATAGTGGCATTACCCCTGGGCAGCCATCACAGTAAATGGCCTAGAGCCAACTGACAGGTCTAAAGCACCAGTATGCACAGCATAAGGGACACACAGCAGCTGTCATACCTCCTAACTCCAATCTGGCCACTTTGTGATAGTTCAATGGGGAAATAGTCCACTGTAATGGCAACAGTTTTCAAAGAACTCTTAAATCAAAAAGCTAGCTGGAGCTCCTCAAACATTAAATGATAGAAACTTTATTTAAAATGTATAAGGAAATATGAACTATCTACTTTTAAACACATGTAGCTTTTTCATCTTAAAGTCTTCCTAGCAGAAATCAAAATGTGATTAATTCCTTGATAGCTGCCTAATACAGATTAGTATTTTGCATCTAGGATTACTTCAGAGTATTAACTTATGAAGCTATCTCTTTTTCTTTATTTCTATAAAACCAAGAATTATGGAATCAACTCTCTAAAGTGGAACAAGATGGAAAAAAATTGTCTCCTATGTTAAGCAAAAATGAATGTCAATGAACCACTGTCATTACAAAAACACTTCATGACCACATCTAGTTGATATTGACCCCCTTTTTGGATTCAGACTGTTTAACAGTTTGCTATGGGACAACAAACCAAGTTTGCAACAGACAGATGTGTGCATTTGGACACACACATGGACAAAGCATCCAATCTGAGCAAACTCAACAGCAAGTTATCTTATTTATTTGTTAGGTGCCAGGAATCAAACCTAGGCCACTGTATTTCAGGCAGGCACTCACACCACTGAGCAGTATCCCTGATTTAATACCAAGTTATCTTTGAAAAATACAGCTATAGGGCCGGGGGTTTAGCTCAGTGGCTTAAGTGCCTGCAAGGCAAACGTGAGATCATAAGTTTCATCCCTGTTACCAAAAAAAAAAAAAAAAAGAAAAAGAAAAAGAAAAATACAGCTACAGTGCTCGCTTCGGCAGCACATATACTAAAACTGGAAAAATACAGCTGCAGAAGGTTTTGTTTTCTTTTATTTAAACATGTGATGTTAGTTTTGTGACTAAAAACACTGCAGAAGTAATTTTTTTAAAATGGTATTCCAATAGAAATCCATTTTAAAATGTAACAGTGAGCATTTAACATTTTTTGAAAGAAAATTTAAATCAGAAGCCCACTGTGGTCAACACACTTAGCTTGCTTTTGAAATTATGCATCCTTCAAGTGTGTCCCTCAAGTTAACCAAAAGGCCGGGGATTAACCAGAAGGCCCCAGGACTTCTGCTGCTTAAGTGACAGCTGAGTGAAACCCTGGAGTCCCCTGAGAAACCTGGGAGAGGAGGATCATGCCTGCTTTCTAGTCATGCATCAGAGAGGATGAAAGGTCACTTCTGGTGCTGATGGGACTATAGGATGAGAGAACAGCGTGGTTTCCAGAGGAGTCCACACACACAGCACTGTCCCCGTGTCTCCCTCCTCCCCCATCTCCTGGGCATCTGCAAACTTACAACATAGTCACAGAAGAGAATGAGGGCCCCTCTTCGCACAATTTCTCTATTGCACATTCCAAGTTCAGCTGTTGAATCAGAGTCCTCCTTCTCACTGGACAATTGGGGGCTGAGTGACTTCGTGCACGACAGACTGTGTCTCCTGCGGAGTGACAGAGGCACTGAGGGTATCTGCCATGTCCTAGCATGCTGTGCTCGAGTCTCACTCTTGAGTTTGCCAAAGCAGAATGGTGTTTGTGTGACAGGTGTTCAGGTACGTGAGCTGGGCGCCTATACAGCACACAGGAAAAACTATGGCACACAGAGGATTGGGCAGCTGAAATGCAAAATCCACCTAAAAGGTCATTACCTTAAGATTACTTTTTTATTTAACCAGGGATCGAACTCACCATCATGCGCTTGCCAGGCAGGTGCTTATCCCACTGAGCTAAATCCCAGGCCCAAGATTCGCTTTCTACAGATTTCAGCCGTGGAGCCGGAGAACGGACCACAAAAGATAAGAAGCTGCTCGAAATGATGGCACTGTCCAAACTGTCTGAGTACAGCCAGCACTGAAATGCATTTTCCTCAAAATCAAATGTCCATTAAAAAGCTGTCAAGCAGAAAACTTGCTTTTCTGTCACCTGCATGACGTACACTCCCACCTACATAGCACAAAGCCTCAAAAGGACAGTAAGCAGTGTTTGCAATTTAAACACTAGCAGTAGACACTAGGAAGGTCCAACATTTAGCCCAAATTTAGCCCCAATTTATAGACATATAAGCCCCATCTCTGACCCCAGGACAGATATTCCTAGTAAATGAACATTCGGAACCCAGGCAACTCCATCTGTGGCACTCAGCAGAAGATGAATTGGGAAGAGACTAACACATAGCCCATGGCCACAGCAGGGGCAGGACCCGTAGAGCCCACCCAACACTGAGATGGAGTAAAGGAAATAAAAAATCCACAGTAACAGTCCAGGAAAGAGCAGAGTCCATTTGGAGCTTCTGGAGCCACAGTGTGGCCTGATTCCTGCTGCCCTCTCAGGGAAAAGCTAAAACGGAAGAGTGAGGGAGACTGGGTTTGTGCTTTACATTCACCTATGACACTGGGCAAGTTACCTATTTCCTGGAAAGCAGAATGAACAAAGCCCTAAAACAGTGATGGAGGACCTTTTAGAGCTTTAGGTGCTAACAAGTAACTCACTGGGCATGCATGGCATGAGTTCACCACCAATGCCATAGAACAACACCTGCCACAGGTGCCAATCTACATGTAGAACCTCATTACCAGTGTAATAGTACTATTTCCATTGTCACTGAATCACTAACAAGAGTTCCAGCTTGGAATGTGCACGTTTGTTTACATGTTCATGTACACATGCACACATGTGCTAAACCAGACACAGATCCCACCCCTGTGGGGCTCATGGCCTAGTGGAAGAAACAGGCATTAATCAAGTCATCACACAAATAAAATGCCCAGTTACAGCGCTGACACCCACTGCCCAAGAGGACATAGGCTAGGTGAGAGCAGCCCCGAGAGCCGGGTGAAGAGCAGCCTGACCCCGGGGAAGGGGTCTGAGCCAACAAAGGAGAGACGAGGTTTCCTGCCCTTTAGTAACATGCGGGTAGAACTGCAAGCTCAACTGCAATTCAACTCTGAAACATTGGCAGTAAGTTAGTGACTGCAACAAGAATAGCCTCTATGCCCACAGCACCCTCACTCACACCATCTCAAGGTGACCGTCTTATTTATTTTTTGTGACAGGGACTCACTATGTTCAGGAAGGCCTTCAACTCACTGCATAGCCCAGGATGGCCCCAAACTACAGATATCCATCTGTCTCAGTCTCCCAAGTGCTGGGGCAACAGGCATCCACCACTGCACGTGGCCAAGGTGACCCTCTTTTATAAGCTCGTCTATGATGCTCCCACCCTCAGAAGGGGTCCCTCCCTCTCACTTCCCACAGCTCGACCTGCACAGAGCAGCTGTGCACAGTGCTGTCCCAGAGGCACTTCTGTCAGCTTCAACCACCAGCCACCTACATCTGCCACCTTTTGAGTTCATGTGCACTCTAGGTAAGCGGGCACACACACAAACTACACATGCTGCACACTAAATGTGCCACAAAACCCTACACACTTGAACACACTCTACACCAACACATTTTTCTGGCAGAGACATGAGAGTAATTTGTTATTCAGGACACTTTTCCCTGAATACTTCAGCTGCAAGAAAACAGTTCACAGAGCTCACATTCAAATCTCCACTTGCCTCATAATGCCCTTTTGTGTTCATTTCCCTAGATCCAGGTCAGAATGGCTGATCCTAGACATGCCTGTCCTGGGACTGTTGGGGCGTGTCTAATGCAATTCTGTTCTTCAGGACACTGAGGTTCTAAGGAAGCCAAGTGACCAACTTGTACATTCCCAGCCCTCTTGAAAGGTTTTACCTTTTGAGACAGGGCTCTACCCAGGTTGGGTCTGAACATTCAATTCTCCTGCCTCTGCCTCCCAAAGGGCTAGGATTATAGGTATGCACCACTGCACTTGCTTTCAGGGCGGCTTCTGGCCTCATGGACCTCTTTTTTTTTTTTTTGTCTTTTTCATTTTTATCGGTACCAGGGATCAAACTCACGACTGCCTACTTGCAAGGCAGGCACTTATGCCGCTGAACTAAATCCCCAGCCCTTCTCATGGACCTCTTGAACCAGCAGTGAAGGGCAGGGCTGGCAGGCTGGGACACCTCCTCCTGCTCTCCAAACCCGCACCACCAATAGTTACAGATTTTGCAGTACAACTCAACCCTGTGTGTCCACTGGACAATACTGGAAGCCTGTTAAAAATATAAGCTCCTGCTGGAGACATAGCTCAGCGGCATAAGTACCTGCCTGGCAAGTGCAAGGTCCTGAATTTGATTCCCAGTACAAACAAAACAAAACACAAGCTCTTAAAATCTTGAATCATCAGGCATGGCAGTGGGGACAGAGGACAGCACTGGCCCTGTGATGCCAAGGCATCCCTGCTGCTCAGTGTGGTGCCTGGATCAGCACGCCAGCTTGGTGGAAGTGCAGATTCCCAGGCCTGGATGAGTTGTTGACTCACCAGCCTTACCCACATCAGCTGATTTACACTAATAATTTAGAAGCACAGAATCAGGAGATACTGGCCTGCCAGCCTTGCTCAGTTATGAGACAGGCCCAGGACACACGCTGAGTATGGCAAATGCCGCCTTAGGCTATCTCCCAGGCTGAGCATTACCACACAGGAGCAGGGAACTATTCTTCTTTGTCCTGAAGACCCCACTGCATGCAGCACAGAGCAGGGGCCATCATACCTCACAGTAGGGACTCCAGCACCCAGCAGAGGAGCGAGTCCATTGCTTTCCTCTTTCAGGAATGGCTCCCTACCCAAATCCTAAGCCCCAGATTCTACTGCACTCCAGTATTAGAGCAAGTGAGTACCTGGATGCTGAGGTTCAAGCCTCAAAATGCTTTAGCCAAGATGGGGCCACCCACAACCAGAAGCTTATTAAGTCTTTGAATGATAACAAATACAACATTTCCAAATAGTTTTGAAATTTGCTAAATAATTACTTCATTATTAAGAATAACCAGAACCACATTTAACTTCTAATGAAGTTAAAGACATTGCAAGAGTCCTGGTTGTGGAACCAATTCTCATGCTAAAGGCAAGCAGGAGGGCCGCAGCCCAACTTAAGACCCACAAGATGGAACACAGGCAAAGAGCTTGCCCAAGAAAACCACAGGAAAGCAGTGGCTTCAACACTGAAAGCTTATACTCGGACACATCTTCTCTCACAATATAGTGCCTGAGAAAGATTAATATGCAGCTAAAACCTTACAGAGCCTTATGAAGAATGAAGATGGAGACACCTCCGCAGGCACCGAAGCGCCAGTTCCTTGGCATCTGAGGCCATGCACCTACTTGGGTGTCTGCTGCACCTCTGCCCACCAGCGGTGGTCGGTGTGGTTGACAAGCAGCAGGATCTGGCACCACAACAGCACCAGGGCCGGGTGTGTAGGCACCATGGAGCGCACACGTGCGTTCAGGCTCTCCAGCGTGTAGAAGCCGCCCTCACAGGCATCACTGGTGAAGAGTCTGGTGGCAGCCGCAGTGATCCTCCGGAACATCCCTAGAAATACATAAAGCAGAGCGGACTGCAGGGAACACCCTGGTGCTTGTCTGAGACTGACCCCAGGCAGTTGTGTGAAGACTTTGTACTAGAAAGAAGCACAGGCAGTCCTTTCTGTGCTTTAACTTCCAAGTTAAACACCTTGGCACATAAAGAGAATTAATTCTCCCTGTCCTAAGTAAAAACAGATGCTGCACTCATCAAATGCCCAAAAACGATGCTCATCCCCTCTCACCTTCTTCCCCTAGCAGACAGCTGCTAAGACACCCCCCAAGCACCATGGCCATCTGTGGGGGATGAGGTGTCACTTTGAAGGCCCTAGGCCCCCTCTGACCTGCAGTAAACAATAGCCCCCGATATGCAAGACAGAGGGTTAGACAGAGGCGGGACAAGAATGCCTGTTCTTCACACCCTCCAAAACCATGCTGTATGACCTGGCTTTGTTTACAGAGTCATGAGAAAGTGGCCGACCACCCTTTGTGACACTAGCAACAACATAATTAACAACATTCTAGGGCTAATAAATTTCCTCCTGGGCTAGAGGGGCTAGAAAAATTGATGTTGATTAACTTAGATAAACATTGTAGTCTGTCACATTATAGCTTGTCACAAGGAATGCTTTTTCACTACTTAATTGTCTGTGCTCTGTAAATTGATCCGGTTTACTATATAAGAATCCTAAAATAAAGATTGTGCGTACAGTACAGTACAGACAGTTACAATTGCCGTCTCTTCTGTTTCTTTTCCGAGAGCTGCACCTCCTGTGTCCCGATCTGGTGTGTGTGTGTGCCTTTTCCCGGAGTCCAGAGTACACTAGACACTCCCGACAAGTGGCGCCCGAATCAGGGACTCCGAAGGTCGTTTAGGAAAGGTGAGTATATATATTTTTACTACGGGGAAATGGGACAATCTGTCTCTTCTCCTTTCTTAAAAATTCTTAAACATTTATTAGCTATGTATGGCATATCGCTCAGGTCAGCTGACTTGGATATGTGTATTCATACAATTAAAGAATATAATCCTTGGTTTCCAGATGAAGGAACTTTGGATGTAGAATTATGGAGGAAGGCGAGGGTTAATATAGAGAAGGCTATGCAGCAGGATGAAAAAATTCCTTTACGTTTTTGGGCTATTCGGTCGGTTGTGTATTCTTTATTAAAAGCTATGGAAGATGAACATATTATAGAAAATCTCCAACTAGAAATTAAACCGGTTATTCAGGAATTACCCCTCACAGAGGAGGAGCAAACTGTAGTTCAAAATGACGCTATCGCTTTAAGTAATGAAAAAGCGTCCAAACCGAAAGTAAAATTCGCCGCAGCTGATTCGGCTTTAGCTGCCGCAGCAATATCAACTTGTGACGATCGCCCAATATTACAAGCTATACAACGCCTAACACAGGTGGTAGAACAGCTTTCCGTTAAGCAGAACCTACCTTTATCTCCCTCCACACCTCCTCCATCTAACCCTAACTAAAATAAGGCCAAACTAGCTTTGGCCGACATACCAAAAATAGAGGATTCTGACGAGGAAACGTCTGCCTTTGCTTTTCCTGTTATCAGGCCGCAACCTGTAGATGGAGCGGCAGTTCCCCCTAGATGGGACGGACTTAATATGGATGATTTAGCAAAATTAAAAAAAGGCCATAACCCTTTATGGCCCTCAGGCTCATTACACTAGAAAATTAATAATGTCGGTAGCAGATCAATATGGTAATCTTGCTCCTTATGATTGGAAAACCTTGGCTAAAATTCTTTTAAAAGAGCCAGAATATTTACAGTGGCATATGTGGTTTATGGAAGGCTGTGCTGAGAAGGCAAGGCAAAAATGCTGAGGATCAAGATCCTAATGTTAGACTCATTTCTTATCCTTGCTCTCTGGTACAGGTTTTTATGATACTGTTGAACATCAGGCTGCGGCCCCAAGAGAGATTCATGCTCAATTAAAAAATATTGCTTTAGAAGCTTGGGATAAAATACGGCCTCAAGGATCAAAATATAGATCCTGGGCTAAAGTTCTGCAAAAAACTAATAAACCGTATGTTGAGTTCATTACAAGACTTCAAAATGTTATTAAAAAAAACAGTAGTGCGGCAAGACTTACAGCAACATCTCTTAAAACTTTTAGCCTTTAAAAATGCCAATGATGAATGCAAAAAGGTTTTAATTCCAATAAAAGATACTAGAACGATTGACAGTTTTATAAAACAATGTAAATATTTAAATTCAGAATCTAAAAAAATACAACTGTTTGCTAAAACCATGGTAACCACGTGAAATAATTTACAGTCTAAAAAAGAACAGTCTTTAAAATGTTTTGGTTGTGGTCAGACAGGGCATGTAAAAAGGGCCTGTCCAAAACTTTTAGGCAATGATCAAAAAAAAAAAAAAAAATCTAAAGCCCCTGGCTTATGTCCAAAGTGCCATAAGGGGCATCATTGGGCTCGTAAATGCAGGAGTAAACAAGTTAACTCAGCTAAACAAAAGGAAAACAAAAAAGCGGGCCTTACCCCAGGCCCGGGACAAATCAATGGGGGAAACCTACCATATTCTCCTTACAACCTGCCACCCAACACAGCGCCACAGTAGATATACCAGCCTTAAAAGACATAAAATTAAAGGACAGACAATCTCCCGTGAGAATTCCTACAGAAATTTTTGGCCCCTTGCCTGCAGAAACTTTTGGCTTACTCACGGGTCGGTCTGGTTTAAATCAGAAAGGCATTACTGTTCATTTAGGAATTATTGATGCAGATTATACTAGAGAAATTCAAATCTTGATGTCCTCACTTACAGATTATAAATTATTAAAGGGAGAACGTATAGCTCAACTCATATTACTGCCCTATATCCCTATAGGATCCTCTGTTGTTCAGCGAACAGGAGGGTTCGGCAGCACTAACCCTATTAATGTAATGTGGACAGCTAAATTATCTCAACAACAACCTCTTATTAATATTTTTATTGAGCATAAGAAAATTCAAGCTCTTATAGATACGGGCTCGGATATTACTACTGTTAAAACTACTGATTGGCCTTCTCATATTACTTATATTATTATTCCATATAATATAAAAGGAGTAAGTAAAACTCCAGTAAATACAATTGGACAAGCCACAATACATATACATATAAAAAATGAGGAGGGTCAAACTGCTGTTATTAAACCTTATATCTTAAAAGTGCCAGTTTCTATTTTAAGAAGAGATATATTAAAACAATGGGGAGCTCATATACATTTTTAATATTTTACATGTCTCTGCAGCTTTGGGGGATAAATCCTTTAAAGCTTAATTAAAAAAATGATGACCCAATTTGGATAGATCAGTGGCCTCTGACTACTCAAAAGTTACAGGCAACACAAAAATTGATTGATCAACAACTTTCTCTACATCACATAGAACCATCCACATCTCCTTGGAATTCTCCAATATTTGTGATAAAAAAGAAATCAGACAAGTGGAGACTTTTAACAGATTTACGCGCTGTTAATGCATCTTTAGAGCTCAAATGGGAGCTCTTCAGCCTGGCATTCCTTTACCTTCAGCGCTCCCTGCTGGTTGGCATGTATATATTATAGATTTACAGGATTGTTTTTTTAATATTCCCTTACATCCAAAAGATAAAAAACGGTTTGCCTTTTCAATTCCTCAAACAAATTATCAAAGACCTTATCAAAGATATCAATAAAAAAACACTACCCCAAGGAATGAAGAATTCCCCAACTATATGTCAAATTTATGTTGATGCAGCATTAAAACCAGTGCGTACACGATGGCCTCAGATTTATACGGCTCATTTCATAGATGATATATTATTCTCATATAATGATACAAATGTTTTAGAAGATATTTTAAAAACTTTACCTCAATATTTTTCCCCATTTGGACTTATAATAGCACAAGATAAAATTCAAAAAAAAAATTAGTCATTATTTGAGATATATTCTTACTAAACAAAAGGTGATTCCACAAAAAAATGTCTATTAGGAGAGATAAGTTATCCACTTTAAATGATTTTCAAAAATTATTAGGAGATATCAATTGGCTCCGTCCCACACTAGACATTCCTACTCATACATTACAGCATTTGTTTGCTACTTTACAGGGCTCTTCAGACCCATCAAGCCTTCGTACATTAACAGCAAAAACAAAACAAAAATTACAGTTTATAGAACAAAAAATTAAGGATACATTTTTAATTAGGATTGATCCTAAATTGCCTCTAACTTTATATATTATTAATACTTTTCAATATCCCTCTGCAGTTTTGGGTCAAAATGCTATGCCAATAAAATGGGTATTCACTAAAACTAAACAATCTAAAAATGTTATGCCTTATATTGACATGATTGCATCTTTAATTATAAATGGTGGAGCTCGTTCTATAACATCTTTAACAACAGTCTCAAAAATAACTTTACAAACCTCTTTACAAAAAAAAATGTTATAAAACTATGACATAAAAATTCTCATAAACTTTGGTTAACCCAATGACAAATAAATGCCAAACTACAACAACAAATAAACCTTCTTAAACAAACAATAAAATGGATAAAAAAATATTAGCTCTTCAACATCAAGTGTTTTAAAAATGTGATTAAAATTCAACTACTTTCTATATAACACAACAACCTTATAATCAAAAACATAAATAAAAAGTGATTAAAATATATCTAAATAAAAACACTTCTACCCAAAAAAAAATAAAATCTTTACATAATCAAATTGACAAAGATTTTACAAAACACAATAATAACAAATCCCTGACACAATTCGCTCAATTGCTCGCTCAATCTTTAAAAGAGCTAAACTCTAAAAAAATCTAACAAAGCCTTACCCACACTTTAAACAACATGAGGCTTAGCTTAATTATAGCTCTCATTGCCATAGTTCTTATATATTTTTACTACATAAGACAAAATGCTACAAATAACCTAGTCTTATAAAAATTGTTCTTAAAAAAAAAAAAAGTGTGAGAGATGAGGTGTCACTTTGAAGG